TGCGTTGGTTGTTTCGCAGGTCCCCGCCGCGCGCCAGCTGGAGAGCGGTCATGTTCGCCCAGCCGCGGGCTTGGCCCTCGGCGACGTTGCGTTTGAGCCTCGTCTCCTGGATGAGCATCTCGTTGCTGAAGCCGCGCGCAGGCGCTGGCCGATGTGCCCCGTTGTAGGTCGCGATCAAGAGGGGCTCTCGAAGCCGCCCCTGCACTGCAGCCAGTTGAAGAGCGGTGTCTGGTGCGAGCTCGACCAAGCTGAGCTTCTGCACGCTGGCGGAGGCGACCGCGGTCGCAGGTGCAACGGGGGTTCTTGACTGGCTGCCAGCGGCGAGCTAACTCCCTTGCCCCAGGGAGGCCCTCATGATCCACAGGATCCTTCGTCCAGGGCCTTCCCAGACGCCTCGCCGAGGTCAGCGCCTGGCGCCGGGTCGACCACCCGAGGCCGCGCCTCGCCCTGTTTGGTTTCTTTCTGCGGCATTGGCGGGCTGCGTTCCCGGCCAGGACCCTGGGCAAGGGGGGCGCGCTGACTCCAGGGAGGTGCGCGGCGGCGCGGCGAGGCGGAGAGCCTTGCGGCATGGGCCAGGTGGTGGGCCCTGTCCAGCTCGAGCGGTGTCGTCGCTGTTGCGCTGCCTGCCGTAGTCGCCCCACTGGCGCCCGTAGACGCCGCGCCCTCCACGCGCTTGGCGAACTGGCTGCAAACCCACTCAGGCGTGGAGTGCTCGCTGATGGAGCCAAGCCATGCGACCGCTACTGCATCAAGGCGAGTATCGCCCCTTCCGCTTTGATGTCATCTGCTCGATCGCGCGGCCCATGCTGGTGAAGGCGGTGACTGATCTTGCATCCAGCGCCTGAGCTGGGCCAGGTCGTCGAGCTTGGTGCCTTGCTCTTCTTGCTCCCAGGTAATTGCGCGATAACCTCGTCGGTTCTCCAGTCGGTGGATCAGCCCCCCTCTGCCGTCGTACTTTCTAGCCCATCCAGCTGAGCAGGTCTCCCGGGCCAGCCTGAGGCGGCCCGGCTCGCTGCCGTCGATGAGGGGCGCGAAGATGCGGATCGCGAGGTGGTGGAAAACGCCCGTTACGCACGCTGCCATCTGGTCTTCTTTGTTGACAGCTTCAGAGGGCGCAGCGATCCAACGTCGGCTCCACCCTCCAAGCCCCCGACTGACCCCGCCCCTCTCGCCCAACGCAAGCCGGTGGTCGTCGTCGTCTTCACATATGGCCGACCAGCCGGCACTGGCCCCGAGCGCGCGAGGCTGCAATTCGGGAAGATGCGGGAGTATGCCCCAGGCCTCGAGGTCGCGGGCCCGCATGCGATCGAGCTCCTTCTGTTGGCCATGCATGCTGCGCCTGCCGCGTTGACGCCGCGCGTGGATGGCCGCCCCCATCAGAGCTTTCGTCTTGCCGTGCACGGAGCGGCAAGCGCGCAGGAAGGGGGCGAGCGCATTGCGCGCAACAGTGTTTGAAGTAGAGCTCGGCCTCCTGTTGGGGCATGATGTCGTTGTCCGGCCATCGCCGCAAATGCGGCTGATGTTCAGCGTGATTTTCGAGCGCGCACCACGCCCCCGCACGCCTGCATGGGGCCCGTTTCGTAGAACTGCAGGCTGTGATCCCAGGTGGAAGGGGCCGTCGCTGTCGCCCATCGGGCGGAGTAGCCGCTGCGTGGGGCCAGCGCCCTCGCAATCCCGCCAGAAGTCTCGTCATGCTATGCAGGGCTCAAGTCGCAAAAGTGCTCGCCGAGATAGGTGGGATTTGGAGGTCCATCTTCTGCGTAGTCGGTTTCTGCGCTCGCCTTGGCTCCGGGGGAGTCAAATGGCCCCCCCCCTGGGGGCTGCACTTCCCAGGCCATGGGCGGGGCATGCATGGATGTAGAATTGCCCGCTGTCCCTTGCGCTCGTGCTGCTTCTGGGTCGCAGCGGCGCGCAGGGCCCGTTGTGCCAGGGCGCGGCGAGCAGGGGCGCCAGCTGCGTCGCCCAGACTCTCTGGGCGCGGAGTCGAGGTCTGGTCGGCGCTGGCAGCTGCTGGTTGGGCCGGGCCTGCTGCTGTCACCGTTTCCGCTGGCCGCCCGCCTGGGGTCGCTGAGGGAGGGCCCCCTGCGCCCGCTTCCGCTGCTGCTGTTGTCGCTTTGTGCTGTCCGTTTGTGACCGCTGCTGCCGAGGCTCTGTCTGGGCCTGTCGGCTCGCCGTCGGTGGCGTCATCCTCTTGTTTCTTTGCGTTGAGCCTGGTGGCGAGCGCCGCAAGCTGGCCCCTGTGCCCGTCTTTAGGCACGTGGACGCTGCGCCGAGAACCTCGCCGACAGCCTTGCCCAGCTCGGTCTTGAAGTCGTGCTTGAGCTTCTCGAGCGGCTCCGTCTCGCCCGCCAACCGTCGAAGCCCTCGAGGTCAAACAGCCCGCCGTCCATGAAGGCCACCCCATCAGGCTTCTCGAGGACGCTGACAAGGTGGAGGATCGCGCCCGCCGCCGATCCTGCATGGGCAGGAGCATGCTCGGGCTGGGCGAACGTGGCGAGCTCGGCCTTGTCGGCGAGCACCTTGTGAGCCTCGCTGGGCTGCGCCTTGGCCTGTGCGACCGCCTTGGCCGCGTCCGCTGTCTCGACGCAGCGCGCCCCGTGCCAAAGCTGCGCCTCCTCGCCGGCGATGGCCTTCAGCTGCAGTCTGGCCTCAGCCCTGTGGAGCGCCGCCGAAGCCATCGCCGCGTCGGTCTCGAGCATGCGCGGCTGGGGCGCGGCGACTTCCAACGCAGGCCTGACTGCCTCCTACACCTTGGCGATTTGTTCGGCAGGTTGCATCCTCTTGACCAGGCTGACGGCGCCTTCCAAGCCGAGCTGCGGCTGCTTGCTACCCAGCGGCGGCCAGTCCACCGCTCATGGGGCCAGCTGAGACTGGCTGCGTGAGCCTGAATGGGTCCTACGCCAGGGTGCCCTCGCCTCTGGGCCCGCCGCTCCGTCGCCACTTCCTCGGCCTTCGCTTTTTGCTTCTGCCGCCGCGCCCGCGGCCGCCGCGGCCTGCGCCGTGTCCTTGGCCAGCGCCGAGCTGGCCTCCACACTCGTCGCAGTCAGCCCTGCTGCGGAAACTCCAGCCACACCCGCACCTGACGCACTGAGCGCACGCGCCCCTGGCTGGCGCCGAGGGGGCCGAGCCGCTGCAGGGGCGGGGCGCGCCCGCGGCGCCACTCTGAGCTTCGTCGCGGCGGTGGCTCGCGAGGTGGCGCCACGCCGCCTCGAGCCGCAGCAGCGAGGGCGCCGAGGCACGCGCGCGCGCCGCTCACGCCTGTAGAGAGCGACCGGGAGCGGCCGCGCCGCGCCTCGCCGCCAACCGCGATTGCACGCACCGCGGCCCGCGCCGCATACGTGCAGCGGAGGTGGCGCGAGGTTTGCGGAGCTGGGAGGTGGGAGGCTCCGGGGTCGGCGCGGGACCGCCCGTGTCTCCACCGACGGAGGGGCGGGAATCGACGGGGTGAAAGCTGCCAGCAAGATGGGAATATCTAGGAGGTTTCAGGCCCAAGGATCGAGATCTTTTGGGTAAGTGTTTTTGTGTACCTTGAACCTCCAGGAGGTATCTCATCTCCACGGCGAGTCGACATTCGTTTTAGAGCGCACTCCCAGGAGAGGTCTGGCGGCTCGATTTTTCAGGGTCGACGTCAGGAGGAAAGGGGTCTTGGGTGTCTTTTGTCGTGGTCGGCTTCTCCCGGAGCCCTTCCCTGGTCTCTGGGACGCGGAGGAGGATGGAGGTTGTTTTCTGTTTGAGGGGTTCAGCGATAACCGGGATTATCGGCCCCGCTGCCAACATTTCCATATGACCGAATGGTGTCGTTTGCGCAGATCGGGAGCGGGGGGGGCTGCGCAGGCTTGCGTTGCGGCGGTACTCACATGGACTGAAATTCCCAGGCGCGGCGGTGTTCGCATGCACTGTGGTATTCGAAGGCACGGCTGTGCTCGCTGGCGCCGCAGCGCCCATCTTGGAGGCTTTACTGGGTTGATCGCGCGCGTTGTGGTGGTGTCCACACGACTTGTGGTTGTCATAGGCGCGGTGGCGATCGCTGGCTCTACTGTATCCGCACCCCGAGGCGTTCGCGAGCCTTTTGTTGGTCACAGGCACGGTCGTGGCCGCAACTAGCGCGGCGTTCGTAAGCAAATCTAAGCATCTTCCTGGTGCGTTTGCGCGAGCCCCGGAATATGGCGCAGGGCACAGAGAGGCGCGAGAGTAAATCATGTGTCTTTTGTTGCAAACAAGGAAACACCATATTTTCCACCGGCCTGGCCGTTCCAGATTCGCAGGCCCAGGCAGCAGCAGCGCGTGGCGAGGATGCGGTTTCAGCCCCGTGCGTTGGCCTCCACCTTCCCCAGACGTCCGATGTCGTGACTTTTCGCAGCGTGGACCCCCGGATGTTTGGACCCCCTCCCAGGGCCCTGTCTTTCATCCTGATGTTGACTGTCCCGGGGCCCGACAAGACCCCCGGAGTCCTGGAATTGTGAATAATTACCCGTCGTGTTTTTTTGCCAAACGCGCTAACTAAGGTCTGGGCGTATGGAGGTTTTGTGGCTTGGAGGGCCCTTGCGGCCTGGGGCCCAAAGGCAGCGAAACCAAATCCCGAGCAGAGCAGCCTAACAAAAGCAAAGGTGTAGAGGCGGGACAGGGGTAAGAGCAGTTGGGGCAGAGGTGAGAGCACGGCCATGCGCACCCTATTTTTGCGAGGGATCGTGGTCGTCCAGACCCATTTGTTAGTCCGCATTGAGCGCATTCGTTGAAGGCTCTGGTGGCCTTCCTTCCATAACAACAGCGTGCAGGCACAACGTCTGCCGGACTGGGCGGTCGAGGGCTCCCCGTCCCCCTTTTGTGGGATTATGGTGTGGCCCTCTCCTATTTACTTCGATTCTAGAGAACTCTCTAAATATTTTGAGTAGGGATCTCCAGGACCCCTCTCCAGAATCCGTCGCGTCCCCTTCGTGACATGCACCGGGAGGCCCAGGCCTGAGGTGCGGCCCTCTGGGCCCCACCCAGTCCGATCTCACGCTGGACAGTCTCCACCTCGGGAGGCCCTGGAGCCCAGAGAGCCGCCCCCCCGCCGCCGCCCCCATCTCGGAGAAGAGAAAGCTGCGTAAACAAGACTGTCGGAACCCCGCGCGGCTTCCTCGGATCAGCGCTGGGACCCCCTGGCGCTCGTCCTGGCGCCCGTCCTTGCGCGCTCCGCGCGCCAAGCAGGGGAAACAGGCGCCGATCCAAGACATCTGCGCGGAGCTCCAAAAGTTTGTGCGAGTGCAGTGTTTTCTTCTGCGGCCGTCGCCCCCCATGGCGCGCCACGAAGCCGCCCGGCCTGGGGAGGACGGGGAGCTGGGCGGCGCCGCGGCCGATGGGGCGCTGGCCGTGTCGCCCGAGGACGCCCGTGTCGCTCTTCTCCTCCTGCTCCTCCTCCTCCTCCTCCTCCTCCTCCTCCTGCTCCTCCTCCCTTCTCTCCCCCTCCTCGGTGCTGTCGTCGTCGTTGTCGCGCGGCGGGTGCCGCTGATAAAAATATTAAGTTACCCCTTATTACGGGGCCCCAGTCCGCGAATAAGGCCGCCGAACAAATCACGACTCCCCCCTGTCGCACACCCAGACGTGTTGTCGGTGGGGCGGGCGGGGTGTTTCGCCCGAGACTCCCTCGCCACGCAGAGTCCTGAAGCAGGACAAGTGTACAGGATACAAGGATGGAAGGGGGCGCGCTTTTTTTGCAAATGGGGCTCTTTCGCCTCAGCGCCGCGCATGCTCGTTACCAACACGTGCAGCAGCTTCAAGGATGGAGAATGGGGGTTCAATATGGGGCTCTTGCCTAGGGGCCGCGCACGGTTCGTCTTACGTCTTAACACGTTGCAGCAGCTACAGGGCTGGAGGGCGGTTTCTTTTCAAATGGAGCTGTCGTGTCAGTTATCGCCGCGCACATGTGCTTGAAATGTTTCGAAGATTTCCAAGGACGGAGGGAGGTTCCCTGTCAAAACGGGCATACCGCTTAACATGATCTTGCTTCTGATATAAGGGACTTGAACCTATATAGCAGCTACACGGACGGAGGACAATTCCTGTCATGTTGGTGTTTTCGCCGGAGATTTCTTCGAAGTTCATGGCCAGAGGTGTAAAATTGTGCAACCGCTGCACACATGGAACGCCAGTCTTTGTTTTCAAAACGGGGATCTCGTTACATGATTCGATTGCTGATAACTCGCTAGGGTTATGCAAATCAATTCCTTTTTCAAAACGGTGCCTGAATGGCAGGCACATAGGGTACTGCTTTGTTCCAAGCTCACGTATCTTGTTGTGAAGAGGAAGGCCTGTAGAGTTTTACGCGCAGTGGATTTGGGGCAGGAGGGTGTATTGTAGCAGTGTTGATGCATCTTGGAATTGCTCTCGTCCTCCTCTCCGCTCCTCTTCCTCCTCCCTTCATTATCCTCCTCCCCTCCTCCCCTCCCTCCTCTCCATCCTCCTTTCCTCCGTCCTTTCTTCTAACTCGTCTCCTCATCGCAGGGGCACTTCAAGTTATTAGTCCATCGACTGGGAGCCAGCATTGCGTTCATCCTTTTTACGCTCTCTTCCTTCCCCATTGCCCTCGCGCCCTCCTCCTTCTTCACCCCGTCGCGGGTGTCGCGCCACCATCAGCACTGAGGGGGGTACCCCGAGCTCCTGGGCCCGCTGCCGAGGAACAGGCTGTGCACACAAGCGGACTCAACCCGCCAGCGCCTCTCGCAGGGCGGCCACGCCTTCCGCGCGCCCCTCCCCCCGAGGCTTGCGCGGAGCGGCCGGCCCTTGGCTTGGTGGATCGCCACTAGCAGCTCAGCGCGTTTGGCGACCGCCTCCGCCCTGACTTCGTCCACACCGGGGCCCCGTCCCGTCCTCGTCCTGGCCTCTGTCTGTCTCTCTCTCTCTCTCTCTCGCTCACCCTTTCCATTGTTTCGTTCTTTTCCCTTTCTGACCGACCACCTCTATCCCTCCTCTCCTGTGTGCAGTGACCCCTCCCCCCTCGTCGCCCTATCCTCCCTCTACTCCCCCCTTCTCTTGCCTCCGCCTTCTCCCCATTTGCTCATCCTCATCCTCTCCTCCTTCCCCTTGTTTCTCTTCTCATCCCCCCTCTCTTTCTCACCCACTTCTTCGTCGTCCTCGTCTGTGTGTGTTGTGTGTGTGCGCGTGTGTGTGTGTGTGCGTGTGTGTGTTTGTGTGTGTGTTTGTGCGCTCCTAGCCGCTCGCGGGAGGAGCTCCAGCTGCTCGCCGAGATCCGCGCGATGGAAATTGACATGTCGCTGATGGACCTCCGCGGTCAGCTGGAGGCCCAGGAGTTTCGGGCCGTCGCAAACGTCCGCGCGTCGAGGTCCGCCATTCGAAGTCCGCGCTCGTCAGACCTCGGGCGGTCCACCGCTTGCGCAGTTTTGGGTAGCACCGACTCGGGAGGCGTGTTCTGGCCACCTCGCCGATCATGGCTGGGCCGATCCTGGGCCCAGAATCGGCCTGGCCTGGATCGATGAGGTGGTCAGATGACGTTCCCCTGTCCTGGGCGATGCACCTCGTCGGTGGGGCGGGGGTGGCACCAGTGTCCCCGCATCACGTGCAGGGCACCCATCGCTTTGGAAGGCACGATCTAACAGCCGCTTTTATGTCTTACAGTTTTGTGTCGTGAGCATCCCCGTATATTCTCCTTTCTAAAAAGAGATTTGTTTGTACCACCCTCCCCGGCGGGACGTACCGCCCCCCTTTCCGGGGACATTGCAAATTATATGTGCTTCAGATGAATCGCACATTTTGCACATTCGGAATTCATACCGTCCCAGGTCCCAGGCTTTGATGTCTTCGTCCTCGCCTCACCCCTGTCAATTAGTATTTCACGCGCGCACTCGTTTATCGCAACATGCTCTCTTTCGATACTCCCTTGCAGCCAACTGAGACAAAGTCTTCACGCGCGTGCCGTCGCGCGCATATCAAAGTCCGTCCCAAATGTTCGTTGTCGTCAGGATGTCCAGCTCGAAGTTGCCTAACATCTAGACAGAACACATTGGTTCTCCACTATAGAATCTCGGGCCGGACGAAAGGGGGGGATTGGGAAAAGGGGAATCTCGGGCCGGACGAAAGGGGGGGAACACATTGGTCCTCCACTATAGAATCAACGCACCAAGCGCGCGCATTCTTCTCAACTCTTACAAGCACCATCCGGTGGTCAACACTGTTTCCCAAATTCGACCACGCGGGCCTCTCGCGTGCGCATGTTGGAGTCATTCAAACGTCCTTTCGCGCGCTTGCTGAGAAGGCACGATCCCTGTCAAATAAGACTGTGCGGGCCACTCGCGCGGATCGGCCGCGCGCGCGTATTTTCGATATCCTTCCAAAATTTGCATACGCGACACATGGACATCAGCATCGCCGTCGGCGTTGGCAGCGTCGGCGCCGTCATTGGCCTTGCCGTCGTCATCGTCACCATCGTCACCACCATCGCTACTATGATCATCGTTGCCGCTGTTGTCGACGTCATTTGGATATTTCGCCCGCCTGAGCCAACCGACCCGCATTGAAATGTCCGCGCGCCAGCGCGGCATTGGACACGTGGTGCGACGCTGCCATCGGTAAATCGTAGCCGCATCGGCTGTGCCAAGCCAGCTGGCCGCTCTGCGCGCGAGCTTGCGCGCGCCAGTGCGATCACAGAGATGCGCCAGCCGCCGAATGGGTTTGGCAAACAAAGTTGCGTGTAGGAATGCGGGATGAGTGCGCGAGCAATTGGACTGAGAATGTCAACAAGTGGCAAGAGTCAGTTTGACAATTCGAAAATGCATTGCTTCGCCCCGCCCCCTGAATATGTTCGGCTTCTACCCGGAGGTAATTGCCTCTCCCGCCCTACCCCATGAACGCTAGATTTGGCACGGGGCGGGTCGACCACATGCAGATCTGCACCCCCCTCGCTGCGCGAACGCTCGCGCTGCAGCCCGCTGTCCTGCGCAGCAAACTCTGGCGGGTGGGCCGAAAAAGGATCCGCGGCACCGGAGGGTTCGTTGGTGTCTTATGTAGCTGCGGATGCGATTGTGCGCCGCCAGTTGTTTGGTGGTCATCAGGCGGTGCTGGCGAGGAGAAGGACGAGGGGGAGGGGCCAGGAGGAGGAGGACGACGAGGAGGAGGAGGAGGAGGAGGAGGAAGAGGAGGAGGAGCAAGAGGAGGAGGAGGACGCAGACCGTGACGCCCCTGGCAAGGCCTGGGGGCCGAGCAGAGGGGCCAGTTCGGGGAGGGGGGTCGGGCACACCAGCCAGCGCAGGAGGCCGAGCTCAAAGGAACAAGTAGTGGAGCGCGCCAGAAGCGAGCTCCGTGGCAGCGAGGGGGGGAAGGGGCAGGCGGCTTCCCCCTGACTCGGGGGGAACAGTGCTATCGCTGACCCTTCCGCTGCTTCCCCACCCTGCACCGGCGGCGGCTCCGGACTCTTCGGACGGGGCGGACTCGACGATCCAGTCGACGGTGTCGAGAGGGCAGGTCCCAGGCTGCAGGGCGTACTTCGCGTACAGCGCCGCGCGCTCCGCAGCCTCGTCACCGCCCGCCGCCGCCGCACCAGCAGTCGCCGCCGCAGGTGTCGTCTCCGCTCCGCCAGCCGCGGCCGCCGCGCCAGCAGCAGCACCAGCAGGCTCTGCAGAAGCCTCAGCACCCGAACGATCAGGAAGAGCGACCGCGGCCGACGGGGCGGCAGGCCGCCCGCCGTCAGCCCACGAGTCATCGTGCAGCCCGTCCTCCTCCATGTCATCGTGACTCGAGTGACTCAGTGCAGCGACGGCGCCCGCTACACCGGCAACGGGGGGCGCCGCCGCGACACACCGCGCCGCGATGCGACGGCGGCATCGGCACCGCCGCTCCACCTTGGCCGCCGAAGGGGCTTTGGGAGCAACGGCTGTTCCATCCGTGGCGAGGGCCGCGGCAGCGGCTGCGGGCGGCAGCGCGGCGGCGGACGGCGAATCACGGAGCGCGAAGAGCGCTGCCGAAAGTGCCGACCGTCGTGCCACGGCGGCCATCGTGCGACGCGGAGCGCGACCCAGCACGGTTGCCGGCACCGCTATTTCGACGAGGGTGACGGCGTCGGCAGCTCCTCCAGGCGCAGCCATCCCCCGCGGCGGCTCCGACGCAGGGCGACGGGGCGGCGAGACGACGGCGCCGCACGACCGCTTGAGCCAAAATGGTTACGGAGAGCGGGCGGAGGAGGAGGAGGAGGAGGAGGAGGAGGAGGAGGAGGAGGAGTAAGAAGGATATGCGGTTGGATGAGGAGAACGAAACGGGAGGAGGAGGGATAGAGGGGGAAACGAAGGATGATGATGATGATGATGATGATGATGATGATGATGATGATGATGATGATGATGATGATGATGATGATGATGATGATGATGAGGAGGAGGAGGAGGAGGAGGAGGAGGAGGAGGAAGAGGAGCAGGAGGAGGAGGAGGAGGAGGAGGAGGAGGAGGCAAGCCGTATGAGGGAAACTCGTATCCCCCGCGCGCGAAGTGGGGGGGGCGGCGTCCGCCCGCTGGCCTCGCCGCGGCCCAGCGGGTGTCGACAGCCATGGATTGGTCATGGCACGGCGCGCTTGCATGGTGCGCGAAATTGATCTGTGACAGGAGTGACGGCGGGGAAACAAACCCATGGCCCAAGCGATTTCGGCAAACACGGAATCTAAGCTATTGGCCGCCCGGAGGCTAGTTGATGCGATCTTGCAGGAGCAAGCTGGGCACATCCGAGCGTTACAGACAGTTCTGTGGCAACAGCAATGTGGAACCCATCGGGGAAACACCCAGCTCAACGCCCTCCGCGTTCATGAGGCGCACAATTGGCACCAGACGACGCTGGCGTCCACGGACGACCAGGGCCAGGGAGTTGCGGCGCATCGCCACAAGCGTCACAGCTTCGGCGACCAGCGAGTGTCCGAGGACAGCGTCGGCGAAACCGAGTGTCAGAGCGTGCCAAGCCCTGCTGCCGACGGAAGCTTTGGGCTACAAGAACGCGCGGAGCCACTTGAAGGCGATGGGCGAATCGAGGAGCCCCACGGCCACGCGCTGGCCACGCAGACTCGCGACGCTTTCTTCGTTCGCCAGGCGCCATGCCATCGCACATCGCACCTGCGGGTTACGGGAACAAGTTGGGCCACCATAGGACGCTGGGCAGCGAGAAGGCGCTGAGCCACCAGAGCACGCTGGGCCGCGAAAGGGCGCTGCTGGGTTACGAGAATAGAGAGCACACTGGACCATGAGAACACACTGGGCGAGGAAACGGCCCCGAACCACGAGAAGACGCCGGGTTACGCGAAGACCTGGGGCCACGTGGGCGCGCTGGGCTACGAGGACACGGTGGGCCAGGAAAACACGCTGGGCCTCGAGACGGCGCTGGGCTGCGAGCGCGCGCAGGGCCGCGAGCAGATTCCGGGTTACGCGAATGTGGTGGCCCACCAGGACACGTTGGTCCATGAAGCCGCCCTGGGTTACGAGAAAACGCCGGGCTATCATAACATGCTGGGCTAGAGAACGCGCGGGGCCGCAAAAACACCCTGGGCCACGAGGGCGCTGGGTTACGAGGAGGCGCTGGGCTACGAGAGCGCGCTGGCCCACAAAAGCGCGCGGGGCCACGAGACGGCCCTGGGCTGCAGGACGCCCCCAGGTTACCAGAACACGCTGGGCCGCCGGGACACGCTGGGCCACGAAAAGGCCCTTGGCCGCGAGAACGCGCTGGGCCACCAAAGCATGCCAGGCTACGTAAAGGCGCGGGCCGCGAAAACACGCTGGGCTACGAGAGTGCGCTCAGCCACCAGAGCGCGCAGGGCCACCGGGACACGCTGGGCTACGAGAAGAAGCTGGGCCGTTGGGACACGCTGGGCCACGGGAGCGCGCTGGGCAACAATAAGGCGTTGGGCTACGAGGACAGTCTAGGCGACGAGAGTCTCGTGGCCCAGTGTGCTTGCGTCACGAGACGGCACTCGACCGCGAGAAGGCGCTGGGCAACCATGGCACGCCTGGCCACCAGGCCACGCTGGGCCACGAGAAGACGCTGGGCCATCAGCGCTGGTATTGCGCGCAGGGAGTCTGGTCTGGATCGCCGAGCCAGCGGAAGTTTAACGCCGCGAAGGCCGTGCCAGTGTCAGCTGCTTTGACGCCGACGAGGGCAGATGGGCTTTCAAAGTAGACGGCCATCAGGTCATATTCATCAAGCCCGAGAACATGGAACTGCTCGGTCCCGAGACCACGGAGGAGGCCTTGCCGCGCAGCTTCATTTTTGTTGGCCCTCCCGCAGGGCCGCGCTAACCCCAGGACGAACATCCATGTACATGACATCATCCGTGATCAGTATGCAGGCTTTCGGGGAGGCCCCAGCCTCTTCGTCGCACGGTTTAACGAGATGGTTCCAAACACCGCGTTGCAGATCTACGAGCAGATACGTTGAGCAATCCAATGAGTAGCTTCAGCGCGGACCGCAATAATGTTTATTGCTTCGCCCTGGTCACAAGCACTGTCTGAATGCTTTGCGTTGTGACACATGCGTCCTCCCTGCGCGAAGCCGTCTGAATGCCGCGGACACTGGCGGACCGCAAATCTGGGTCTTGCCGTTTCGGCCAGCCCTCGTCCTTGCGTTGTTGGCATCGACGGCAGTTTCCAATCCCGAGCACATCAGGCACCGGCCACGCCTGCGAGTTCAAAGGCCGCCGCTCGTGCGCAGATGCGCAGCGGCGAAACCTTTTCTTCACTCCCCCTCTTGGAGAGTTGAAAGTATGGTTCCCCTGTCTCCCTCCTCCCCGTCCTTCTCTGCTTCCTCCCCGGCCTTCACTGCTTTAATCCAACCGAAATCGGCGCATGTGTGTCCGCGACGATAGCAGCGGTAGTTCGGGCAAACGGCCAGGCGCGGTGAGGAGGGGGAGGGGGAGGGGGAGGGGGAGGAGGAGGAGGAGGAGGAGGAGGAGGAGGAGGAGGAGGAGGAGGAGGAGGAGCAGGAGGGAGAGGAGGAGGAGGAAGAGAAGGAGGAGGAGGAGGAGGAGGAGGAGGAGGAGGAGGATACGACACTGTGGAGCGGTTGCGCCGCTCCCACGCGATGGCCCTACGGTGGCGAAGGGCGCCTCCCTCGAGAGGGATCGCAGGGCAGGCCTCAAGCAGAGACTGCGGCGACGGCGGCGGCGGGCGAGAGGCAGGCGCGGCGCGCCTGTCGCCGAACGTGTTGAGGGCGTCGGGGCGGGGCGCGCGCGTGCAGGTGGCGCGTGCCCCTTTCGCCGCAGCCCAGCCCATCGCCGACGACGACGAAACAGAAACAAACCGAGTTCAGGCCCAGGGCACCAAGCAAGCGAACGTGGACCTAGCCCCGATCCGATCTTCGGTCCTCCACAACCGCAGCCAGAGGACCTCGGGACCAGCGGCCAGGAGGGGCCTCGTGGCCCGAATGAGGCGGCCATCGGGCCGCTCCTCATCAGTTGGGCGCTGAGAGTCCAAAAACGAGCGCCTGTTGCGAGCAGCACGTTCAGACATCCGTCCTGCCCCTTCGGGTTGGCAATCGATGAGCACGTGCCCAGCCGATCCCGTGGAGAAGACGCCACAACGCACACACATGATCACGTGACCTGGCGAAACCCCACATCCATGACCCGTGCCGAAGCAGCGGGAACTATCCCGATCTCAGGGGAAGGTGCCAGTGGGATTGTGGTATCGGGCGTGGGGGGGGCCGAGCATTGCGACCGACTCGCCACCTTCTTTCACGGGCTGAAAGCTTGACCAGCACGGTCCCTGACAAGCACACCATCATTCACGCGAGCAGGGGCAACATGATTCGATCGAAATGTTCAGCACCTTGAGTCCGCCCACCCACAACGGAGGCAAAAGGCGGCGCGAGGACGAGCGATGCGCTCGATCCCCACAGGGACCACTTCGTGCAAGCCGCGCCCCACGCCGCTCCTGTGGGTAGCACCACCCACAACCTCAATCCCAGGCTCCTGGGGGTCATCCTGGGGTTCGACCACTCCGCTGACCCCGCCGATCCCCCCTTGCCTTGGAAGCAAACCCTCCAATCCCCAGGGCCTCCCAGGCCACAACCCTCAAGGTGAACGCCAGTAGTCGAAGCCCTCGCAGCCATGAGTTCGATCGAACGAGCGAGGCACACTTTCTGTTCCAAGTGTCTACGAATGCGATCTACTCGCTGTCATTCCCCGCGAAGAACAACATCTCCAGATCACGCGGCCTGGCTGCTGCACAACATTATGACGCAAGTTCTGAAAGCTGGCCTTATCGCCAGCATCACCACTAATCGTGACGCGACATCTAGCCACGTAGTGTTTGGTACGAGGCTTAGTGAGAATCTGACCAGTCGCGGCAAGCAAGCCATAGCATTGAACCGCGCGTTCCCAAACAGAGCAAAGCGATGCATCAGCGATACGCATCCCTGTGAAAGCTACCTTGGGGGCGGCGCTGTGGAGGTCCCTCCCGTTGGTGGCCCCCACGTCCGCCCAAGTGTTGCCTCTCACAAGCAAGGAGTTTCCCCGCCTGTGAGCTCGAACGCGGCGGACTTGGAAGTTATCGACGAGACCCTCAAGTCTTGGACCTTGGCCCAAATCTCTCCCCAGAGGTCAACGTTGGCTCTCCGAGGGAGTCGAAAACGGGCCTGCTTGCAGGCCATAAACACGGTCTTGACAATCAGTATACTCTTCCAGGGGGAGAACCGCAGCCTGGAGCACCTGAAGAAGGCAAGAAGTTCGGCCTCCGACGAACTCAGCAGCGGCCTTGGAAGGGCCCCTGACGAGAAGATCAACACGATTTTCGGAAACCTGAGCAAATCCCCGCCCAGCACGGGCCGCTCCGGGCCAGTACCAGACCTTCCTACGGGCCTCGTCGGTAAAGACCGTTCCCCAAATGCGATTCGCGTTTCCATACTTCACGATCCATCTTACAGAATCGTCACGCCGAAGGAGGGTGGAAAGCAAGAGCGCGGGCACAGGCCACGGTCCCACAGCCACGAGCCTGGTTCACAATTAGGAAATCCTCGAACGTCTGGAGGAGGAGGAGGAGACTGAAAAGAGGGGTGGGTGGCCACTGCCCCGTGTAACATCAAAACACATGCACTGAGTCGCATGGGTTTCTGACTGTCTCGGCGAGGTCGGCTTCTGTCTGGGCATGGTCCAGAAGGTAGTTAGTGTTCTCTTCCTATTGCCTCCCCTCTCCGACACCTCGTCGTCGTCGTCCAATGTCTACCTCTCCATCATTTTTCCTCATCCTCGTCTTCCTTGTCCTCCAACATCATCATATTGTGTCTTGACTCCTCCTTCTTCTAAACATCATCTTCTCATCTGCCCTCTGCGCTCCTCCGTCTTGAACATTGGGAGGGATATGGAAGCCTGGCTGAGACGGCCTCTCTTTTGTTTTCCTGGAGTTCTGCATGCCAGGCCATTCCATCGTCCTCGGCGGTCGTCCGAAGTGTGCGCCAGGTCGTGGGCTGGTTGCGTGCGGGTCGCTCCCTCGCATTCGCCTGCAGATGCCAATGTACGTTCCACGCGTGCTCGGGGCTGCGGCAGAACCCGCGGGGGGGGGGGCGTTCGGCGCACGGGTTTCTGGCGTGGTGCGGCGTACAGGGCGCGAGGATAAAACAGGCACGCGCACCGTGCTGCATAGCCGCAAAGCATGGGAACCAGGTCATTTGTCGGAATGTGAGTTTGCATCTTCACGGCAGCGCATCCCCAGTATGGTCTGGGGCGCTCTGGCCGACAACCCGAGGAGTCTAGGAGTCTCTTCGTATGAATTTTTGCAAGCGGTCGCTGTCTGTCTCTGTCTCTGGTAAGGGGGGGCGGGGCACGCAGGAGGCCTTCCTCGAGCAGTGGCAGAAGGATCTCGAGAAGGACCGCGGCCGTGGCGCGGGAATGCCGCGCGTCACCAGGCCGTTGGCTTCCAGGCTCGGACGGCTGCATCGCATGCCACATTCCTGGCCTGCGCTGCTTTGCTTCGCACGGGCCGTCTCGGGGCGACCTCCTCCCAGGTTGAGCGTCGCACCTCCTCCTGGATCGCCCCCTCCCCTATGCCTGCCCCCCTCTTCCCTGCAAAGCCGAATCCTCCTTCTCCCCTACCGCCCGCGGCCGGGCTCGGCTCGGGGCTCTCGCCGAGGTGGAGCTCAGGTGGGGGGCGGTAGGAGGAGATGGGAGGAGATGGAAGGGAGAAGGAGATGGGAGGAGATGAGACGGGAGGAGGAGATGGGAGAATATGGGAGGAGATTCGAATGAGGAGGAGATGCCCCCCAGCCCTCCTCGTCCTCGCTCTGTAGCACCTCTTTAGTGCCGTTACCAAAGAAGACGAAGTAGACGAAGTCCACATATATGTAGATGTATATATGTGTATATATATATATACAACAACTACCCTGAGCTCACTAAGCAAGGTACAGGAGGGTCCTCCAGCTGACCCTCGTAAGTGCAGGCCGTTATTGGCCGCACCCTTTGCCACTGAGGCCCATTTCTTCCGCATAGTCACAACACGTTGTTTGCCAGCACGGCATGGCCGCCCGAGGTAGCCCGAGCCGCACGTGACGTTTCTATCGAAACTCGAGGGGATTCGGTGGGGAGTCACGCCGACGACCACGGTCAGATTGATGTCCACGCCACCCCTGTTGTCCCTTCCACTCTAACGGATTGGCTCACCGCTGCCTTTCAGGGAAGTTCGACGACGAATTGATAAACAAGCATTGCCCGCTGCGTTGCAGAATGCGCATTTCCAACGCAACAACAACCTCCAACGTGGCTCAAGGCATGAGCCCGACGCAGCAGAGATTGCACCACATAGATTGCCAGCTGAGTGCGCGATGGCGTCGCTGCTCGGTATGGGTCACGGGCTGGGGGTGCTGGCGGAGCAGCTGGAACTATTCCGATCCACGGAGGCCGCCCGGGACAAGGTCATGGAAGAATAGCCTTTGTTGCGCGCGCAGGTGGAGACGGATCTAGAGGCTTCGGGCGACGTTAATTCGACGATCTTCGAAAAGGCTTTCACGTCGGGAGCCCAGTGTCCCAGACGCGTCGTACCGCATCGTCACGGTCGACGGAGATGAGCTGGAGGTCGACGCATGGCCTTTGCTCACAGCACGCTTCAAGTTCAAAGACGAGGTTCGCGACGAGGTGGACACTACAGGCGAGGCCAGGGATTCCCCCTCGGCTCCATTGCACATGACTTCTGCGCCGCAGGCGATGCACCAGCGCCAGAGGTGCAAGCACCTGATGTATCAGATGGGCTCGCCATTCCCGGAAGCTTGACCCACAGGGGTGGTACCGTCCAATCGCCGCCCAGTGTTCGTACCATGGCCGTCCAGGCGACCTTGTCGCTCTGGGATTTTGGGGGCAGTATCTATCAAAAGGGAAGGGCCCGCAAGCTTCGGACGACTAGTATGATTTTACTCAAGCTTCGAGTCGCCGCGCCCTTCCAACTCTTGCGAAAAACCTGGCGGGTGGCAAGAAGCGCAACGGGAGAACACGCAGGAGACAGAAAAAGACATCAACATGTGTGGGAGCCGATGATAGCAGCTCTTGGATCATATGTGACTGTGCGCTTCTTGATGCCGAGGGGTCGCCAGTCATGCACGTCACATTCTCACGGACCGAGATCTTGCCCTCTACAACCCTTTCATGTTGAAGGTCTTCTCCACGGGGGAAGCGCCCATTGCTCCCATGTGCGGCGGAGCTCAGCCATCGAACGCTCCGCCCGCGGCCTGCGAGAGACTGGACGAAGCGATGGCGAGGGGCGGTGGTTGGTGGCAGCGTTCGAAATCGATGTACCAGGACGGGTTCCCAAACTACAATACCATTCCGAGTACAACATCTTCAAGGCTCGCGCTATGTTTGGCAGGCGCTGCAGCTTCTGGTTGGCTCTTATCTGAGGGCCGCAGCGTGCTGGCCTGCCCACAGGGTCCCGCTGCATGCTGCCGCCGATCGGATTGAGCCGCTGCAGGGATGCGAGTTATCTCTCTTCTCCCCTCTGCTCCTGTCTCGCTCTCTCTCTCTGTCTCTTTCTCTCTCTCTATATATATATATGTGTGTATATATATATATATATATATATATATATATATATATATATTGCGAAGGCCTGACGGCCGGTGCCGCCGACCCTGTTCGCAATGCGCAGCAAGAGGCACGGGCTGTGGGATGGTTTGGGGGAACGGGGAGAAGGACGAGAAGGTGGGGGAGGGAGGTGTCGTATCTGACCCGGGACTTCCCCGGGACTCCCCCGGGACCCCCCCCGGGACCTCCTCTCCCCCCCCCGTCGGGGAAGGGAAAGGGAAGGGGCTTCCCTTCGACTCAATGACGACGTTGCTCAAGGTCGGTACGGGGGGGGGGCGTCGTATCTGACTCGGGGGGGGGTCGCTACCCCCCCCGCTACCCCCCCCCCCTCCCGGCGGGGGAGGAATGAAAGGGAAGGGGCTTCCCTTCGACTCAATTACGAGGTTGCTCAAGGTCGGCTTGGCTGGAGCCCAGGGGAAGAGGAGTCCCAGGGGGGGGCGTCGTATCTGACCCGGGGGGGGGGTCGCTACCCCCCCCCCCTCCCGGCGGGGGAGGGATCAAAGGGAAGGGGCTTCCCTTCGACTCAATTACGAGGTTGCTCAAGGTCGGCTTGGCTGGAGCCCAAGTCGTATCTGTCGGGGGGGGGTCGCCCCCCCCCCCTTGGCTACGAGGTTGAGCCCAGGGGAAGAGGAGTCCCAGGGGGGGGCGTCGTATCTGACCCGGGGGGGGTGTCGCTACCCCCCCCCCCTCCCGGCGGGGGAGGGATCAAAGGGAAGGGGCTTCCCTTCGACTCAATTACGAGGTTGCTCAAGGTCGGCTTGGCTGGAGCCCAGGGGAAGAGGAGTCCCAGGGGGGGGCGTCGTATCTGACCCGGGGGGGGGGTCGCTACCCCCCCCCCCTCCCGGCGGGGGAGGGATCAAAGGGAAGGGGCTTCCCTTCGACTCAATTACGAGGTTGCTCAAGGTCGGCTTGGCTGGAGCCCAGGGGAAGAGGAGTCCCAGGGGGGGGCGTCGTATCTGACCCGGGGGGGGGGTCGCTACCCCCCCCCCCCTCCCGGCGGGGGAGGGATCAAAGGGAAGGGGCTTCCCTTCGACTCAATTACGAGGTTGCTCAAGGTCGGCTTGGCTGGAGCCCAGGGGAAGAGGTCTCCCAGGGAAAGGGAAGGACAGAGACGACGAGTACAAAGAATGACGGAGATGACGGCTCGAACGGAAAAGCCCCTCACACACGCCGACAGGGTCGGCGGATATATATATATATATATATATATATATATATATATATCCGTTCTGTGTCAACACCGACCAAGGTACTTTACCGAGCTGGTGAAGTCTAGCGATCCCGTTGCTTGCGCTTGGATTTGGGCAACTTCGAACTAAGTCTATTCTTTCGTTGCGGAGCCGAAGCATGTGGTGCACACTCCGTGGCCCGTTGTGTTCCCAGTATCCTCTGTTTTCCTCCCTCCTCTTCGAATTGTCGGGTGATCTTGGCGTTTGCGTTTGCAGTGATTGTTGTGTCGAACGTTCCCCCCCGCAAGGCGATTGAGACGCGGAGGCCTCAATAATTGTAGATCGTACATGGTGCTGTGGAGCCGACTCCAGGTTCTGGACCGTGCTGTTTCCTGTCTGTCCTGGCCCGTAGCAGTGTCATCGTCCTGTGGCCACCGCGTCGTTTTTCCACAGCAAGCAGTGCAAAGTGATTGCTTAGCTGGTGACCCTTTTGCTGGATGACAATCGGGCGCCGTGCTTTTGTCCCTTGTTCACCTTTTTCTTCCCCGCTCAATCAGCAACTACGGCGTTCATCGTGCTACATTGTGCAGCGGGTGCGGGAAATTATTGCAGGCCGAGGAGACAACAATGATGCGGCACATCATTCAGACGTGGCAGCGGTGCTTCGACATGGCCGATGTGACTAGTGAGCAATAGCGTTGGGCAGACAAGGTTTCGCACGCAATTCGGCGGTCCAACAAGTTTGTCTGGCAAGCCGTCTCCTGGTGCGACCCGCAGCACGAGGGGAACCAGAAACTGTAAGAGTCGGGCCAGGCAGAGTGAGGACGGGCGCTGGCCCACCAGCCTGCTGGATTGATCACCCGAGGGCAGTTGCGTGCCATGGCGGCCTCGCACACCATTCGCGTACACCATTTGCCGATCTTGTAGCCATTTTGACAGCAGTCCGTACAGGGCCACGGCCGCGGGGCCACCAGCATCTGAGCATATTGTCTTGCGGTTGCGGCCGACAGCAAAAACAGGATTCGATATGTCAGGCTTGTCGGTCCTCAGAAAAGGGCACGCAAGCTCTTCCGTTGGCGGATCCTGACCTTTTCAAGGGCGACTAAAGAAGGTGGATCGGGATGTGGAGCAGTAATAGGAGGACACACGGGAACAACAGCTCGCACCTCCGGGTCGATATCAGGTCAGCACATACGTGGTGCAGTTAAACATCGGAACATCAATATTGGTTCTGACGGCCCAGCGGGTCTATGGTTCCGAGGTAGACCCGACTACGATCCAGCAGTATCCAAGACATAGTTAGGATTCTTGTGGGCATCCCTCGGAATTCCCAGGTGTTCAATGGAGGCCAAACAATGCATCCAGTCGACGCCATCAGGAATAGTTCGGGAACCCGTTGGATGTGTTAGGACATCCCTCGGATTCCTTGGGCGATTTGCCTTGGGGAACTTGGAACATCACACCGCGTTGCAGGATGCGTTAGATTTCGGCCAGATGAACAAGAGGGGGTTACTAGTACTCTATTCGCAACAGCGAATCATCACGAGCAGGAGCACGGGTACGAGCCGTAGGAAGATGAAGAGGAGGAGGAGGAGGAGGAGGAGGAATACCTTCAGGAGCACCATCAGGAGTTGCAGGAAGAGTAGCAGGGATGCTGGGGGGGGCAAAGAGTGGATAATGGGAATGGGGAGGAAGAAAGAAAAGGAGCCAGGGGGGATTGACAAACTATGTGCTATCACGCCATCTCCGACATACTACCCGTCCCGCCCATAACTTCTCATGGCGTTGTTTGTTTCTCTATCCGCGGCCGCGTGTCATAGCCGACCTGGAACTCCAAACGGACCACATCATGGCATGCGCAGTCGGATCACATGGGAGCTGCGTACATGAGAAACGGAGATGGCGGATGAGCAGGAGGAAAACAAGGAAGAAGGAGGAGGACGAGGGCGAATTGCAGGAGCAGCCAGAGCTGGAGTGGGAGGACTGGGAAGAGCAGGAGTGTCAGGAGGACCAGGGGAAGGCAGAGGGAAATGAGGGGGGGCGACAACGATGCACAATTGTTCCCATCCTAAGCGGTGGCCCGCGCTGGGGAGGACATTCTTAACGACGGGAGCAAAGCGCCCATCCGAAAAGAAGGACCAAGGTGCAGCGGGATCACCATTCCGAAACACCGAAGGCATTCGGATTGAACGTGGATTTTGCTGGGGGGAAACAAATCACAGCGCGGAGAGGGCAGAACATCTTCCGCACAGCGTCAGGGGAGCGAGGAGAGTATGATTTTTATTGTATAAGGTTGGAGTGATTGCGGAGCGAGGCGGGGAGGGGGAGCGTCCAGCCTCCCCACATAAGCTCTACGAGACAACGCAACAGGGATAACATCCCTACGAACGCACGCATCCTTGTCTTGTTGCTGCTGCGACCGCGCCACACGATACCGTTTCGCAGTGCCCCCGAGCGTCGAGCACCAGGAATTTGAGCCTCGATGGCGATGCCTGGCCCCTCCTCATCACATACCTCCTCGATGTCACGGCGATGACCCGACGTTTTGGGATCGAGTCCAGTTGGGGGCACGGGGCCAGGCGGATGGCCCCAGACGGCAGTTCCAATTATGCCACCCATTCATCCCCTCCTCCCTTTCCCCACTGCCGTTTTTGTTCCTCCCCCTCCTAGTTCCTCCCCCTCCTCGCCCTTCCTCCGTCCTCGTCGGCCCTCCATCCCGCCTCCCTGGTGCCTCCCCCATGTCCTCCGCTCCGCCCGCCCACCTCCCCCCCGCACAGATTCCCGGCGACGCACCCCCGCACTCCCTCAGTGCCAGGTAATCAACCGCAGCCCAGACAAGTGGAGCTACAAAGCTTGCCACTGGGATCCAGAACTCTGCCAGTGGGCTAGGAGAAAGACAGCATGGGCCCAGGCGGAGACACGTTCTGAAGAGCTGCGGCCCCTCCGTCGTTCTCCTCAGGAGGCGCACTGCGCGCGCACGCAAAGGTATCGGCGCTCGCCTCGCTTCGCTTTCCCCTGTGCCAGGAGAAGGGTGCCCCTCGTGAAGCGCGGGCGAGCCTGGAGAGCGCGCAGCGGCAGGTTGCGGATCTGCGGCGGCACATCGGCCAGCTGGAGGAGCCTTGCGCCCGTCATGGGGGGCGGCCCGAGCTTCTCTTGTGCCTCCTCCCGGGCTGGCAAGCCAACAGGATTGGGCGGGTTTGTGGCAGGCGGCGGTGACGATGCCTTTGATGCAAGCATCTTTAGACCCCAAGTCACTGAAGAGTTTGCTGGAAACCAAACCGATGACGCCGCGGTGATGGTGATGACGGTGACCTCGGACGTGACGGTGATTTGATAAACCCGAAGAAGATGGATACTTCTGCTTCAGGGGCTCACTCAGCTCTGCAGACCCCAAGCATTTGTTAGGTTCGCGATGTTGTCATTGCTCACAGCATGAATTGCCAGGTCAGTTTTGAGGGCCATTCGGAAGCCTATTGAGGCCCTCCAAGGTCATATTGGAGTGATTGGGCGACATCTCTTGGAGACGTCTTGGGGCCACCTTGGATGCTTCAGGGGCCATCTTGGGAGTCTGCTGGGGCCTCAGGGGGCCTCTTGCGCTCCTATTGGACTCTCGGAAGCCACTCGAGCTCATTTTGCGGTCAATCCAAAGGAGATCAATGTGAAGTACAGCATGCGCGAGAACCTCATGGACACTACGTAATAATTTGCGGCTCCCTGGGGCTTTGTGCGAGTTCGTCTTGAGACTTGGTTGGGGCCATTATTTTGTGTACTGGTGCCATCGAGGAAGCTGTCATACCTTATCTTAGACTATCTTGGGCGGTTTAGTGAACCATACAGGATCAGATCGTGCCCCATTGGGGGCATGTAGAATGTTGTTAACTGCATCGAGGGCCTCGTCGGCGATTTTGGCAGCCTTGAGGTGAGGGTGTTGTGCCCCCAGCCTCGCCATCTCGAAATCGGGGTGAACAAGCAATGACATAAACATAAAAACTCTGAGGTCCGCGCGGATTTCTTGGATCGGCGCTGGACCCCCCACCCTGGCGCGCGAAGCGTGCCAGGGGCGGCGCCGGAGGCGCCGCCAGAGGGCTCCAGCGCAGATCCGAGAAATCCGTGTGGACCTCCGAAAGTTCATGTTTATGTCATGGTTTGTTCTCCACCCCAGCCTCGCCCACTCGAAACGGGATTTGGGACCTCTGGGCCGGAGGTGGCAGTGGAGGGGGCCGGGCCGCCAGCTTCTGATCGCACCGCTCCGCCGGGGCGTTGATGGCCGAAGTTGGTGGGCCATTGTGTTGGTGATGATTGTGACGGTGATGGTCATGATTTCCGATTGTCCCCGCAGATTTCTCGGATCGGCGCTGGGGGCCCCTTGGCGGCGCCTCCGGCGTTTCCCCCGATGCGCTCCACGCGCCAGGGATGGGGGTACAGCGCAGATCCAAGACATCCGCGCAGGGCCCCGAAAGCTTCTGTGTATGATGGTTGCCTTCCTCTAGGTGATGTAGTTCGGCATCATCGCGATGATAGCGACAGTGGTGATGACGGTGGTTGTCATATTTTTCGCCCAGCTTTTATCGACCAGTTAAAATCGTCACTCTCGGGCGCCCAGCGGCGGCCACGACAAGCGCATGGAGAGACCGAGGGGCCTTGTCTTTTGTTGGATTTCAGAGAAGGGTCAAATGCGGAACAGCTCATTGAGCCCGCAGAGCGGAAGTCACGTCGGCCCCCTCAGGGGCCCCAGTAGAAATGAGCGTGCAAATCTCGCAGGCGGTGAGTATTCGGGGGGATATGGTCTCGACGAGGTCCAGTAATTACTTATCGCCACCTCGATGGCCAACGCGGCCCCTCCTAGCGCGGTGCTCCCACCCGAGGGGTTTGTCCCCCCCGCGGCTTCCGGGGGCCACGTCCTCTTCCGTGTTGGCGAGATCGTCGGATATATGAGATGCGGGTCCTTCTCATTGAGAAAGCGAATGGGTCTCTGCTGTTCAGTCTCTGCGAAGGTCAGCAAGCTTTGGAAGGTAGCCACCCCAGTAAAAATGGCGCAGAGATAATTTCGCTTCGGGCCGCCATCCTCAGAACGGCAAGAAGCATCCCATCCCAGCCCCGAAACGCTTGTTAGTCACAGGCCCTGCGGTTGAGCGGGCAAGACTCTCGCTGAATTACATTATCTTCGAATTTATTGTTACGTTTTATACACGTCGGCCCCAGCGGGCCTTCGTGGCGGGAGGGTTATTGGGCACTATGTGCCGCGGGCCTTCCGCAGTTTCTGACTGTGTGAGATTGAGCTGCCTCTGCTTGTCCAGTTTCTCTTCCATCGCTGGGGTCCTGACCCTGGCGCGTCTCCCCATGTGTTCGTTCCTCCCCATCCCCCTCCTTCTACCATTATGGCTCCTTGTTCCTGGCATTCCTTGTCCTCTTCGTCTGCCTTCCCTCATGCATCGGCTCTAAGGGCCGTTCGTAGTGCACGAACAGACAGCTAACTCAGACGCGCACCATAAGGTTCGTTCGTTCGGACTTTCCCCTCCACGTTCTGCTCCTCCTCCTGCCACTCATTCTCCCCATCCCCCTTATTTCCTCCTTCCTCCTCCCACTCTTCTTCCCCTTCCTCCTCCTCCTCCTCCTCCTCCTATTCCTCCTCCCCTTCCTCCTCGTCCTCCTTTTGACGCTCCTCCTCTGTCTTTCTCTCTTTCTCCTCCTTTTCCTCCTCCTCCTTCTCCTCCTCCTGCCCCTCCGCCTTCTCCTCCGCCTCCTCCTCCCCCTCCTCCTCCTCCTCCTCCTCCTGCTCCTGCTCCTGCTCCTGCTCTTGCTCCTCCCCCCACCTGAGGCCACAGGCAGCCCCGCCGTGCCATCCGCAGGAGTTCCAGGCGCCCGAGTGGACTCCTTCGGGCATCCCCCCCGCCTCTGCACCAGCCATGCACTGTCCTGCAGGACCCCTCGCCCCCCCTCCTCGTTCGCAGTTCTTCGCCACGGAGGAGAAGGGCCCCGAGAGAAACGAGTCCTGAACCCCCACGGGCTTTCCAAGAGGCCAGCTATTCATCCAGGGCCGTTCTCTGGCGGACCCGGGGCCCGCGGAGGGACCCTGGAGTGCAGAACGCCGCGGTAAGCCTCCAGGACCGCTTCCCCCCCAGGACTCACTCTACTCCTTCATGCTGAAGAGAGCAGCGGCCCGGGGCACGTCCGGATCGGCGAGCACAGACACCCCGCGGCGGCCCCGAGGATTCGCGCCCCCCGAGGCCCAATCCGGCGCCGCCGACGGAAGAGGACACGCAGGCGCCGGGTGCTTCGCCTCGTCGCGAGGCTTTCGCGAAGCCCAAACACGGACCGCTGGCGTCTGGGCGTCGTGGGCTTGCCATCAAGGAGGCGGTCTTGCGGGAAACGGATCACTGAGATTTGCTCGCCGATTTCGTATTCTTGGGGCCCTCCCTGGGCCCCGCGACCGTCAAGACACGACCCGGGATGCAAAGCTGGCCTTGGGCGGATCCGTTGGGTCCACGACCCGTCATGTTTCATGTTTCTTCTTGCATGTTCATGGTCAACGGACAAGGTGTAACAAAGCACGGTTTTCTCTTCCGTTCCGCTCTAGGCCTTGGGACCATCACGACTCCCAGTGGTATCCAAGATATAGTTCTCGGGAGGTTGATGTTGAGAAATTCCGTGTGTTTTTCCCCACATCCAAAGCGGTGTTCTTGTTTTCTCTGGACACCCCGCGCAGGAGCACACAGGAACACACTACATATTCACCCACTCTCTCAATCACTCACTCACTCAATCACTCACTCACTCACTCACTCAATCATTCATCATCATCACATCATCATCATCATCATCATCATCATCACCATCATCAGTCATTCACGCAGTCATCTCGTCGCCATCACTCACACACTTATCACCATCAACATCAGTAGCATCACCACCAACCACATCCTCATCACCAACATCAGTAGCATCACCACCATCACTCACCCACTCACTCACTCACTCATACAGTCCCACTCACTCCTTCACTGATCATAATCGTCATCAGCATCATCATCATCACAATCACCATCGTCATCACCCACACACTCACACTCACATTCACTCGCACACATCCTGAGACTGCGATGTGCGGAGCATTGATCCTCCCCTCCGCGGCCGTTTCGGTTTCAAGGTCATTTCTGTGCGCCGTGTGAGGTGCACTTTCTTTCCCCGCGGATGGCATGGGACCACGTCGGGCCTCTCGCGGCGGTCGACCTCGCCGTCGGCTCGGTGGTTGCCGCGTTCTCGTCGTGGGCCGTCCGCGGGGCGTTCACCGACTTCGTCGAGAGCGAGCGCGCGGCGGGGCGGACTGAAATCCCTTGCCCAAACCCCGGCCCGCAGGTCTGCCACTGTCACTGCGTGTGCGAGCAGAACCCCAGCGGGGGCGCTGCCGGCTTCCAGCTCTCCTTCGGGGCGGTCTTGAGCTTAGTGTTTTCGGGCCTGCAGCTGCTGCCCACGTGCACCAACCATGGCTTGTGGGCGTCGCGCCGGCGCCGCCAGGGGGGCCAGCTCCAGTGGCGTTCCCGAGGGGGACGGACGGGTGGCCCCTTCCAGCCCACCTGGAGGCGAGCGCCCTCCAGAGGGCCTTCGTGAAATACGGAGGGGCGGGCGAGGAACTGTTACACGAGCGATTCGTTCTCAGTGACATTTTTAGCGGAGTAGTGACGGTGGCTAGCCCAGATTTCGACGTCTCCGACGAGGACTACAGTGATGCGGCCACGTTCGAGTTGGTGCGGTTCTTGGGCGACAATGGCGAGATGCCGCTCGGGCTGAACGGGATAGCGCTGTACCGCTTCAGGGCCGCCCTTAGCGACGCGGAGGTGCAGCAGCTCCTGGCGGAGGCGCAGGCGGTCGCGGCGTTGCGGCCAGCGCCCGCTGGAGCGGCGGGCCCCGGCGGGGCCGCTGGAAGAGGCGCCGTCGCGGCGCCGCCTGCCGCAGGCGCTGGCGCCGGCGGCGGCCCGGCCGCCGCGGCGTCTCTGGTCCTTGCCGAGCACGTTGACGGGCACAGCATCGGCGAGATCGTCACGTTGGCGCCCGGGGCGGCCGTGGTCAATGACAGCGCGTTGATGGTGCAGCCGGGGATGGCGAACCCGAGGCTGGTGCTCGTCTGGAGGCTCAACAACTACGCGGCGGAGATCGACGTTTTCTGTGAGTCCAGGATCAAGTGGTGCAGGAGTGCGATGGCATCGCATGGGAACGACCAGGCGGTGGGTGACGACGTCAGGACGGTGTCGGTGAAGCACGGGGCGGACGGTCAGCATCGGCGAGACTTCTGGCAGTCGGCGCAGGAGACGACGTCCATGGAGTTCGACGATTTTCCCTTGAGCGTGCCGCGCACTACGGAGCGGCACTGCCGGGAAACGATCAAGATGGCCGGTGGCCCCCGCGCCCAGCATTCGAAGTGGCTGATTGGGGCGAAGATCCGCGGCGGTGACAGCTCGATCCACGTGGGCGCGAACCTCGCCCGGATCCAGGAGTTCGCGGTCACCTACGACGGGCTCAATGTCATGAACCCGGCGCGCATGGAGGTGGCGGTGAGGAGGCGCCAGCTGATCGGAGGCGCACCGCGCCAACCCGTCGGCCCCGAGTTACGAGGGGGCGCCCCGCTTCATGGGCGACGGGCCGCGGGCGGGCGATTCGCTGGTGGCGCCAGCGCTGGCGGCCCATGTTTCGGAGCGTCTCCGGGCCGAGGCAGCGATCGCAGAGGAGAAGCGGAAGGCGCCCGATGATCGCACTCCACGCAAAGGCCCCCCCCAAAGGCGGAGGGAAAGGCGGAGGCGACGCGGCCGCCAGTAGAGCGCAAAGCACCGGGGACTGGATGCGGCTCGGCCAGCCCCCGGACACCATGGGCCTCGGCGGCGCCGAAGGGCCTGGAGGTGCTGCGCGAGCCGCCAGGTCGACCTCGCGGCGACCTCGCGTGCGTTTTGGAATGTAGGGGGCGCTCCTTCGAGGCCGAGAGACGTCTTCAATTTGCCTCGCCTCGCCATCCAGCCCCTGGATAGGCGCTGCTCGATGAGCCGTTCGACGGCGCGGCGGATCTTACGCCGGGCGGCAGTCGCCATGGCTGTCGACATGTTCATCGACGCCCTTGACTCCATGCACTTCGGCGCCCGGGATTGACCAGCCCCTCCTGGCGCGAATGAGCTTGTGAGTCTGCCGCAGTGCCAGTGTTCTGTCGCGATTCATTTGCTTTCTCGCGCCCGGGGGCTCGGCCCTGAGCCCCCGGGCGTCAACCGCATCCCGTCAGGAGCCTTGGGTTTTTAAGCACTCTTACGAGGGGGGCCTCGGGCTTGGGCCCAGGACCTCCTTGGCCTCGCAAAGTTCATCGCTCCCCGACCCGGGGCGCCAGCCTGTAGATGCGGTCTCGGTTTTGTCTGGAGCGCCGCGCGAGTGCCCGGCAGATTCCGAGCATCGGATGCTTGTCGGCGCAGCTGCATGGGGCGCGTTGGCCGAGCAAGCTGCACGCGCCCCCCCGCGCGCGGCCCCCTTTCTGCAGAAGCCCGACGGCTTCGGCGAGTTTGTTTCCATGCCCGCCGCCCGGGGCCTCGTTAGGTTCACCCGGCGCCCCTCGGCCAGGATTGGGCGTTCATTGTGCTCAAGAAGTCTGGGGGGCAGCGTCTCGCCCTGGATTGTAGGCAGCGCCGTCGTCGCGTCGCGCCACCTGGCCACTCGTGCGGGGCTGGGGGGGCTCAGCAGCTCGTGCGAGCTAGGTCAGGCCCTGCATTGGGCCGAAGCGGATATTCAGGACTGTTTCTGCGAGCGCGCCCCCCCCCCCCCCCCCGGAGCTGTCCGATTTCTTCGCGTTCGAGTTGGATCTTGAGGTCTCAGAGCTTATCAAGCGTGGGGTGTCCCGGGATCTGTCTTACGGTTTCGCTCTGGACGAAAGGGCCCACTTTTGCTTGACAGTACTCCCCATGGCCTTTACCTGGCCCTTCTGGCCTATTCAGGGAGATCGCATCCAGGTCGCTGTGAAAGAGCGACAAGATCTTGGTCGACGGCCGCCCGGCCCCCAGTCTGAACGTTGAGGACACGGCGCGCGTGGGATATTATGACAACCTCAACCGGAGGTCGCGCAAGCACCGAGATGACGCGCAGAGGGGGATGGAGGAGGATGGGTTCTCGCTTCGCGACAATTCTGGACCTGCCCTCGTCGCCCGCGCGCTGGGTTCCGTGCTCGACGGGGAGTTGGGGGCGGTCGGGCCCGAACCGGCGAATGTTTGAAAGCTTATCCTGGCATTCCAGCGGCTGTCCTCGGGGCCGATGGTGAACGCGAAGGTGGCGGAGAGAATGGCGGGTCACTACATGTATTTAGCTATGTTGAACATGAGCGCGCAACCAGTTTTGCGACATCTGCGCGACTTCGCTGCGCAGAGCTGCGAGCCCGAACGTCTCTGACCGAGCTGCTGCAAAGAGTGTCGTATCAACTCCGGGATCCTTCCCTTGCGTCGCCGACCTCAGGATCCTTTGGAACGAGACGGTCGCCTGTGCCGATGCCCCCCCGCTGGCCACGGCATCTGCCAGCGCGTTCTGGACCCCAGCGTCGTCGGGGGCCTGGGCAGGTGGAGCGAGAGGCGGAGGTTCAAACGTCTTTCCCCGGAGCATTGGGCCCAGCGGTCCAGGGCCTTATTAAGGCTCGGCCCCCTGGAGGAGCGAGCGCCGGTCGCGCGGGAGCCCCCGGAGATGTTCAGGAGGGGCTTTGGGGCGACGCGGGGGACTTGGACACTTTCAGGCACTGCGAGGACCCCGATTTCCCTGGGGTCTCCGCTGGCTTGTTGAATAATGACGGTTGGGACGTTGCGTCGCATGGGGGGCTGGCGTTTAATTTGGAACACATCGCGCTCAAGACGGGGGGGGGGGGTGTCTTGGCTCTCCGGCGGCTCGCGCGGGCTGCCCGTAACTTCTCAGATCGCCGCGTGTTGCTGGTTGGCAATATGGGTTTGCGTTTCGCTTTGGCAAAGGGGCGTGTTTGTTCGTGCGATTTGCGCAGAGTCTGCCAGCAGGTCGGACCTCTCCTCTGGCCGCCAACAGTCGCCTCAGGCCGCGATGGTTGTCTAGCGAGCTCAATGTCGCGGATGAGCAGTCGCGCTGGACCGGGAGGCAGGACAGCGCTTGTCGGGCCTGCGCCCCCACATTTGGCGGGCGAGGTCAGGCAGCTGAGCGGGGCGATGGCGAGGCCGACAGGCGGCGCCGCATCTTCGAGCTCGGTGCCGACTTTTTCGCGGAGCCTCCGGGGCTCTAGCGGCGGCGCGATGGTGTCCAGGACCTGGGAGCTGTCGGGGGAGCGCCGCTGCCGGACCGGGCGCAAGACCGCGACCCCGGGCGGGCGCAAGTCGGCGCCGCTGGGGGCGCGACAGGCCCTGGAGCAGGCCTCGAGGAAGAGGAAGGCCGCCGAGGCGTTGGAGCCGAGGGGGCCCGCTTGCCTGGCGCGGCAAGAAGTCAGGGCTCGAGGAGAGGAACATCTCGCATCGCATGACAAACGACTACGCTGATTACTTCATGGAGTTCAGGGATTTCTGCACGGAGAACGGATTGCCCACAAGGGTCGGCGCGGGGGCCGACCTCGCGCTGGTCGACTACTTCGACGCGAACTTCCTGGACGGGCACGGGCCGTCGCTGGCGGAGAAGACCATCGCAGCGGCGCAGTTCGCGGAGCCGCGGACCAAGCTGGGGCGCGCTTGGCCCCTGGTCCGCGCCCAGCGGGCCCTCGAGGGGTGGGGGGAGGAGGCGCCTCCGGCCGGCCTCCTGCCGCTGCCGTGGACGGTGGCCGCGGCGCTCGTCAACTTCATGCACGCGGGCAGGCTCGACATGGCGATGCATCTGGCGGCCCACTTCGCGTGCTGCCCGAGGCCGTCGGAAGGGGCTCAGCGCGCGCGCAGGACGTGGCCCCGCCCGCGGCGGGGGCGGGACATGGGCTCAGGCACTACGCGATTATTTTGGGGACGTCGGACGGAAAGGCGCCCGACGGGGTGGGGGCGTTCGACAGCGGCATCCTGCCGGGCCAGCCCTGCCTCGCCAATCTGGGGCTGGTCCTCCACCGACGGGCGCGGGCGCGGTGCGAGGGCGCGCCGCTGTTCGATTTCTAACTGGAGGGCGCGCTCGACGTGACGAACAGGGCCGCCGCCCACCTCGGCCCCTCCGACCGGCCGCCGCTCTACCAGTGCCGGCGCGGAGGAGCCGCCCGCGACCCCGTCGCCAAGATCCGGGCGTCGGCGACGGCAAGAGGGCGGTGGCAGACGGAGTCGTTCGTTCGGCGCCACGCCAAGATAGGGGAGGCGCAGAGTCTCTTGCAGGGGTTGGCCGCCAACGTGCTGGAGCACTGCAAGCGGTGCGCGGCCGACCTCGACAAGTTGCTCCTCGGCAGGAAGGCCCCGCTCGCCCCTGTCCGTGTCGGGCGAGCTCGCCCCGGCGGGCGTTGGTCACGCCGCTTGGGGGAAAGTGGGGCGCCGAGGTGTTCTCGAGATTTTCGTTGGCTCGGGGCGTCTCACTCGGGCCCTCTGTCGTCTCAAGATTCGGGCTGAAAGCTTGGATATCGAGATGGGTGTCGATCTTTTGAGCAAGAAGGTTGAACAACGCATCTTAGCTCTGATACGCAGTCAGAGGGTGGTTTACTTTTGGTTTGGGCTACCGCGCAACACTTGGAGTCGCGCTAGACGCGGAAAAACATCGGGCCCTGGGTCGCTTCGTGATGAGCACCGCTTGATTATGGGGCTTCCTGGACTTTCGGAGAAGGACGCCATTAAGGTTGCTGACGGAAATCGACTGCTCTTCGTCGTGTGCTGCTTGTGTCGGGTCGCGTCCAGCCGTGGCGTCCCGTGGACCATGGAGAACCCTCGTACTAGTCGAAAGTCTCCTGCCATGAAGAGTTCGGCAAAATCAAAGCGTTTGAGAAGCACCCGAACTCCCCGATGTTCACGTTTTTCGTTTTTTTTTTTTTTTTTTTTTTTTTTTTTTTGCCAGTACAGTGAGGAATGGAATCATCATCATCATCATCACCCTCATCATCATCATTATCATTATCATTATCATTATCATCATCAGTCATTTAGTCGTTCATTCACTCACTCACCCACTCATTCGCTAGCTTGAGTATGGGGGAATTATCAGGCGGGAGCCTCGTCTGTGAGTTAATTGCGAGGAAGTCTCAGGCGGGAGCTCTTTTTCTATGGGGCCCGCACTTCATGTTTTTAATCCGAGCGGGGCATCCTCGAACTTGTAATTGTCGTCATGTTTTGGCTCCTGAGGTTTGAATATGGGGGAATTATCAGGCGGGAGCCACGTTGGTAAGTGAACTGTGAGGAAGTCTCAGGCGGGAGCCTTCTCCAGATGGGGCCCGCACTTCACGTTTTATTCCGAGCGGGTCAATCTCGAACCTGTAACTGTCGTCTTTTTGGGGCTCCTGAGGCCTGAAAATGGGGGAAGTATCAAGGGGAGCCTTCTCTGTGAGAGAATTGCGAGGAAGCCTGAGAGCCCTTTCCCTATGAGGCCCGCACTTAATGTTTTTGATCCTCCGAGCGGGTCATTTTCGAACCTGTAACCGTCGTCACTTTTGGGCTCCTCATGCCTGAATATGGGAGAATCAGGCGGGAGGCCCGTTTGTAAGTGAATTGCGAGGAAGTCTCAGTCGGGAACCCTCTCCCTATTGGGCCCGCATTTTATGTTTTTGATCCGAGCGGGTCATCCTCGAACTTGTAGCTGTCGTCACTTTTGGGCTCTTGAGGCCTGAATGCGGGGAAAGTATCAGGGGGGAGCCACGTCTGTGAGTGAACTGTGAGGGAGACTCAGGCGGGAGCCCCCTCCCTATAGGGCCCGCACCTCTCGTGCTTCCTCCGTGTCGTCCTCTGGCGCTCGCTTCTTTTGCGTCGTCCTCTGGCGCGTATCCGCTAGGACGCACGTCGTGCGCTTCCTCTGGGTCGTGTTCCAGACGATGAGGAGGAGGAAGGAGGAGGAATGAGGATGCAGGACGAGGAAAGGTAAACAGGAGGAGGAGGAGGAGGAGGAAGCAGAGGGCGAGAAGGACGAGGAGGACACGGAGGAAGAGGAGTGCCCTAGGAGGCCCTAGGATGTCCCGGGAGACCCAGAAGGCTCCAGGAGGCCCCAGGAGTCCCCAGGAGGAGCCAGGAAACCTAAGGAGGAAGCAGGAGGAGGGGGAGGCGGAGGAGGAGGGGGGGAATATGGAGACGAGGAGGAGGAGGCGGAGGAGGGAGAGGGAGAAGAGGAATATCGAGAGGGGAGGCGGAGCGGGAGGAGGAGGAGGAGGAGGAGGAGGAGGAGGAGGACGAGGAGGAGGAGGGAGAGGGAAAGCAGCAGGAGGAGGAGGACGCAGGAGGCAAGAGGAGCATGGGGGATGGGGGGAGGAGGCATAACGACGAGGAGGACAAGGAAGAGGAGGAGGAGAAGGAGGAGATGGTGGTGGTTGTGGAGGAGGCAAGAGGAGGAGGAGGAGGCAAGGGTTGAGGCAGGAGGAGAAAAAGGAGGCAGGAGTATGTGTGAGAAGCGAGGGGGCAGGAGGATATCCCCAGGCAAGCTAAACATATTCTTATGTGGGGTCCTGCCATCGGAGTAATTTTCTTTTTCCTGGAACCATCAATCGCCCGGATCTGGCCTGATCCAGCTTAATCTTCAGTTCAATCAGGCTTCAATTGGCGCGATCCCCTAGTCATCGGGCTCAATATTGTGCCATCTTGCCGACGAAGACGCCCCAGGAGTCGCCTCCAGAGGCTCGAGCGCACCTGCCACTGTTGCACGTTCTTGCGCAGCTTTTTCCAATCTCACGCTCTTCCCGTTTGGTGTCGGGGAAGATTACCCTTAGTGTCGGTGTTTGCATTTGTGTAGAGTCGTTTGTGCGTTCGCCCGTGGCGTGGTAGACGCCCACTGCACGCGGTCGGCGGACGGACGGAGGCTCGCATGCGAGCCGGGGCGTGGCCTCTCCAGGGAGTGAGCGGCGGCGCCGTGGCGCCGAGCATTTGAGGGCCGAAGAGCGTCGGACCGTCTCCTCGTCCCCGCGCGCATGCGCCGTCAGGCGCCGGCGCCCCGGGCGTGCGACGGGGCCACGGAGAGGGCGGAGATGACGGCCCCGCTGGCACGGCGCGGAGGGGATGGCAGAGGAGGGGGGAGGACGATCCGCATCTCCCTGCTCCTCGGCCTTGACCTCGCGCTCTGCTCGTCCCTTCTGGCCATCCCCCTGCCCCCTCTTCGTCCCCTCTCGCCACCCTGGCCCATCCTGCATCGCCCCTCGTCCCCCTCCTGGCCCTTCTCTCCCTGGTCTCCCCCCGCCTCCCGGTGCTTCCTCGGCGGCACGCGACCGGGGGCGGGGCGAGGGAGCGGCCCTTCCAGGAATGCAGGGGGCTTCTCCGATGCCCTCCTGCCGTCTGCGAAGCCTTCCCGGCAGCGTCCAGGGAAGCGGCCCGTCCCTCTCTGAGAAGCGCCATGCCTTCTCGGGAGGCCGCCCGCCTCGTCCCGCTTCTGCGTGCTGCGGGTCCTCGCGGGGGAGGAGATGGGGGTGTGGGGAAGGGGCAGGCGCATACCCCAGAGTGTGCGCGTCCTGGATCTCATAGTACAATTTGGTGGTCCTCCGCAGTGGTTCTTCCTTAGACACAGGCTTGGTGGTATATCCTGCCATGTTTGGTGGCATTTGAAAGATACACAGATCCTCGATTACCGCGACGCCCCCCCCCCCAAAAAAAAAGAAGAGCGTGCGCGTCCTGGAGAGTGGCCTGTTCCTCGGGTCCCCCCCCCCTGGGGTCCAGGGCAGGCCTTGGCGCGTGCCGCCGAGGCCGGAGCCGCGGCCACTGCGGCCTGCGGCAGCCCAGTGGGGGGACGCCGCCCTGCTGGGGACCGCCCTGGCCCTCCCCCGCCGAGGGCTCGTTCCGATCTCTCCGCCTCGATTTCGATCCCGACGCCGATTCCGATGCGATGTTGGATTCCGACGTTGACGTCGGTTTCTCCATGGAGGCCCTTGTTGGCCTGCCGATGTCCGCCGACTCGACTTCTCCCGACTCGGCTGCCGATCTCCGCCGATCCGGTTCGTTCGAATCGCCGATCCGATTCGCGTCGAGTTGGTTCGGGGCTCTCTTCTCAGCAGCTTTTCACCGATCCCTTTTCCCACCCCGATCCCGGTCCGCACCACCCCACCACCCCAGTCGGGGACGGGCCCCTCGAAACCCGGGGGGAACAGCCTACATCCCCACCCAGGGGGCTACATCGGCCAGTTGGGAAGAGCATGCTACGCATGGAATGAATTCAATGGAAATCAATTGCAGTGGATCCGTGAGTGGATCAATCTAGACTGATGGGGTTTTGATGCCTCTTTTGATTTTGAGCCGGCTATGATGCCCGCTCGTGCCCACCCCGTCCTGTCTTCAGGGACTTCGCATCCCCCTATGATGGTAAGATGGGCAGACGGGCCGCCGCCCCTGGCACTGCACGTACCGTGCCAGGTTCGTGGGCATTTGGTTCGACCCCCGCAGTTCCAATGATGGAAACTGCGAGGAGTGTGAGGCCTCATGGTGGTCCTCACTGGTTAGGCCTATGATGGTCCTCACCGGGGGGGGAGAGGGCAAGGGCGGACGTCCACCAACAACGTCCGTCGTGCTCATTCTCTGTGAAATGCACTGTGACCACACTCGTGAATCAGAAGACACGACCCGACCTATGATTGCGGACTCCGTGAAACGCACCGTGACCACGCTCATGACCACGAAAACCGTGACATTCACAAGCACGACTCGACCTATGATTGCGGACTGAGGACACATGCATTGTGATCGCGCTCATGATCACGAAGACCGTGAAACACACGAGCACGACCCGACCTATGATTGCGGACTCCGTGAAATACCTTGTGACCACACTCATGAACAAGAAGACCGTGACATTCACGAGCACGACCCAACCTACGATTGCGGACCACGCCGGTTGGGATAGGGATCGGCCAAACGATGCTCAGTGCTGGACGTGGAGTCGTCCTGGAGGAGCAGTGGGCCGAGTAGGCACGCCACGCCTGGGCTCGGATGGAGAAGGAAAAAGAGCACGCTATGCCTCTGTTGGTCTCGAAGAAGAATGTGGCAGAAACATAAACCATGCGATCGCTCAAACGATGCTCCTCCTCCCCGCCCCCTCCCCGCCCCGCTCCGCTCCTGACGGAGGCCTCTGGCCAAGCCGCCTGCGGCCCCCGCCCCGCCCAAGCTGCCCGAGCAGACGGCGCGGCGCGCCGTGGCGCGCGCCTCCCCCTCGCCGGGCCCGGAGGCGCCGCCGCGGCGCTCCTCCTCGCTGGCCGCTGCCCCCCCCTCCCTCGTCCTCCTCCCTCCTCCTGCTCCTGCTCCTGCTCCTCCTCCTCCTCCTCCTACTCCTCCTGTTCCTCCTCCTCCTCTTCCTCCTGTTCCTCCTCCTCCTCCTCCTGTTCCTCATTATCTTTCTCCTCCTCCTCCCCCGTTTTCCTCCTTCTCCCTCCTCGTCCTTTTCCCCCCCTTTCCTCCTCCTCCTCCTCCTCCTCCTCCTCCTCTGCCGTCAGCCGCCATATCCCACCCCAAAGGATGTTGGCAGCGGCGGCGACGCCACATCTCGACCCTCGCCCAGCGGTCCGCACCTCTCACTTGCCACGTTCGGCTACTGAGGCATGTTGCGAGCCAGTTCGAGGGGCCAGTGGTTTCAGCTGATGGGTAGTATCCTTCGTGCTGCTTGTTGCAACCCACGATCATTATGCACGGCAGGCCGAGCGCGCGAGATCTGCTACGAGCTTGATTATGACATCCGGACTACGCCTGGGACGTGTATACGAGAATGGAAGGGGAACAATTACCACACGGAGGACGTGGGAGGAAAGGTTACAGCAATACATTTCGGATGGAGGCGGGACCATATTGTGAGAGGAGTGATGGATTTGGTCAAATACCAGGACGTCGATATAGACAACACGGAGATTCTAGTGTAATTCGACCGGGGAGTACGGCAGGCTGGTATGGAGAAGTTCGAATAAAGTGTGGGCCATGGATATTACCGTAACGTGTGCATACCGCGCGAAAGCATGCTGATGGAGACAGAAATAAACACGCATGATTATTGCGCAATCAGAAACTACACGCGCGCTCGAGCGAGTGATGCCGAGCCTCGGGCACCTCGATCATAGCTACGGATATGAATTCAGATTTTGGCCTTGGGTGGGCAATACACTTGTGGACCCCGACCAGAAACACAGATGCGACCTTGCCAATTGAAACGAAAAGGGCCGTCATGGGATATGTTCTCGAACGTGCTGCTCGACCTTCACCCCGTGGCGCCTGTCCCATTCAATGTAGTCAGGACCAACGTACTTGGGAGCCCAGAGAGATAAGTCAACCGTGGACGTATTCGCTGTGCCAGCCGTTCTTGGACCAGACGTCAGACACTACCGATAAGCGTGGAGAGCAGGACCAGCTTTGCAACGGATCCCCAAAACCGCATCTCGAGATCATGGATTCGTGATCTGGAAATGGGCCATGAGTCCCCAGTGAGACACGCCGTTGGGACTACCAGAAGCTGGGCACTTTCCAGATCGGCACCTACACGGAAGCTTTCCATCGAGAGTTCGAGCAACGAACAGTGGAATGACAGCAGCGTGTATCCCATACTCAGACGAGATATTGAGGAACCTCTTGAGCGAGGCAGTTATCGTCAAGCCTGGGACATCCAGTATGGAGATCACCACGAGCGTCATGATGCGTAATTGTATCTGAAAACTACGCAATGCCTTACGCAGACGATGAGGACCATCATGAAGTGTCCCAGCGGAGCTGGCATGGATTCTCGACCCGAACCACCTGCTACGTCAAAAGAGCTCCCAGTCTGGCATCGGCTTCGGAGCTGGAGCTGCGGACCCCGAGCCTCGCGGTTTCCATGGGGAGAGATATCCAGGGGTGCCGTGAGATTCGCTGGATGGGAGATGGGTCCACCGGGCCCGTGGCGGACGCGCAAATGTTTTCGAAGGCACGGCCCAGCTCGCTCGAGCTCGGGGCGAGCTTGAAGGCATAAACGTGTGTTAGCTGCAGGCTGGCCAGCTGCCGACGCAGTCCAGCATTGCGAAGGGGGGCTACTCGACGAGTCCCACAAGTGCTAAGTCAACGCGTCGTACGCCTCTCATACGCTTTGGGGCATGCTGACATTTCCGTAATTTATAGGCATGGGGATAAGGATGAGGAGTTGGGCAAACCGCACCCTGCGCATTGGCATGGTTTTCTGAAGTACAGGAGGATGGAAGGAGCTCTACGTGTACAGTTACGAGTGGGACGGTGGATTTCTTTGCGCGGCGTGCGTGGCGGCGACGTGTGTCAGTCCATCCAATGCCCGCTCTTTGCGTCCCCCTTTCCGATCCCATGTTTCGCCACCAGCGTATTGTCCACCAGCCCGGCTGGCGCACGTCTGTGAGTCTGTCATCATTCGTTTTTGCAGTTGTTGTTGGTTTGTTGATACCGTTCATGTTTCGGCGTCGTGCCAGCAGACCCATTGGTTGATGGCCGCAATTATTCGGATCCCCGATTCTACGGTGAAGAGCAGCAGTCGCTTCAATGCAGTTGCCGGGTTGGCCAGTCCGTCCAGCCACCGCTTCTTTTCTTTCGCTCTCTGTCTGCCCCGTTCTCCAGTATCCATTGCAATGAGTGTTTCTGTCGGCTCGGCCAGTTCTCTGTGCCGTCCTCGGCGTGTACGCGGTGTTCCCTCCCTCCGCCGTCCTTGTATTGCTTGCCTGATCCACTTCGCAGTGACTTTTTGGCTCGCCGTTCTCGTTGCCACGCAATGTCGAGCGGCTGCTCGTTGCTCCACCTCCTTGCTTTCGTCGTAGTCGTCGTCGTCCTTTTCCTTCTCCTCCTCCTCCTCCTCCTCCTCCTGTTACGTTGCTCAGCCTTGCGTGCGCCGTCCTGCCCAAGAGCGTGTTTCTTTACTACTTGGGGCACAACGGGCGTTATGGCCCCCGGCCCCCCCCCATAACGTAACGATTCCCCCCAGTGCGCCCCGATCAGTACCGACGTGCGCATCGGGATCCGCACAGGCGTCCGCAAAGGAATCCGCATAGGGGTCTGGTCCGCAGTTGTCGTCGTCCTCGTTCTCGTCGCTCGCCGCTCGCCGCTCACTCATCGTCGTCGTGCGCGCGGACTCGGCTGGAGCCTGATTTTGTTATTCCGCGCCGATGACGGCCGTCATTTGGGGGGGGGCCGATGACGTCACGTTTCGCGCCGGCGGCGTCTGGGAATCCCGAGTAATGACCAAGGACGGGCAGCAGCAGCATGTAGGTTGCGATCTGCACCTCAGCGCCTGCGTAGACCACAGTGCTTGCGTGCACCACAGCGCCTGTGTACACTACGCCGCCTAAGTACACCACAGCAGCCGCGTGCTACACAGCGCCAGTGTGTGCCACAGTGCCTGCGGGCACCACAGCGTTTGTGTATACCACAACGCATGTGTACACCAGATTCGCCGTGTGCAACACAACACCAGTATACACCACAATGCTTGCGTGCATTACAGCGCTTGTGTACACCACGGCGCCCGTGTGCACCACAGCATCCGTGCGCAATCGAACACCATTGTTGCACTCAGAATTTTAGAAGGAATTCTTATGACAAGAGGGAACGCCAGTGGTTTTGACACATAAACTATTCTGTATAGGATATGGAAAGAAATCCTTACGGAAAATGGAGTGCCGCTGGAATCTACGAGTCCTCCCGAGTCCTCCTTCATCATCCTATCTCATCCCATGTGCGTCCAAGCGGTTCCGGCAGAATTGGCCGTCCGAGGACCAAGTGGATAGGTTCAATATACCATTCTGCGGTGCACGCTGAGATGCGCACGTGCGCTGTAGCGCCGACCCGTACGACGGAGGGGGGAAGGTGAGGGTGGACGAGGACGAAGAGGAGGATGATGAGAAGGAGGAGGAGGAGGAAAAGCAGGGGGAGGACAAGGACAAGGAGGATGGGGAGGTGGATGAGGAGGGAGGAGGAAAAACACGTCGCAGTGTATTATCAGCATACCCCTGGTATGGTGTATAGCTGTCCGCAGCAAATCCTGATTTACATGCTCCGTCTACTTGTCCTGTGCGCGCAAGCGCTGTGGTGTACACCAGCGCTGCGTTGCACGCGGATGCTGTGGTGTAGGCAGGCGCTGTAGCGTGCGCAAGCGCTGCGGTGCACGCAAGCACTGTGGTGTACGCAGGCGCTGTGTTGCACATGGTCGCTACGGTTTGTACACTCGCTGTAGTGTACATCGGCGTTGTGGTGCACGCAAGCATTGTGGTGTACACTAGCGCTGCGTTGCACACGGCTGTTGCGGTGTACGCAGGCGTTGTGGTGTACACGCGCGCGCTGTGGTGCACAGGAGCATTGTGGTGTACACAGGCGTTGTGGGGCAAATCGCCACCTACATGCTGCTCCTATTTGGCCTCGGTCATCCCGAGGCATTCCCAGACGCCGCCGGTGCGGAACGCGACGTCATCTGGGGCGGGGTGGGCGGGGCCGATGTCGGCCGCTATCCCGAAAACGGGCTCCTGTGAGGCAGGAGCCACACGGCGGGGTGGGGGGCCGACCGCTGTGCCACCTGCCAGGTGACAAGTGGGCCTGAATTTTGATGTTGTTTACGGCCCCTCTTCGCATGTCGTTTGTATCTTCCTTCCGCCCCTCCCCCCTTGGCCTGGCACGCGCCTGGTCTGTGCTGCCCGGCAGTCGGCTATGTCAGTCTCTCGTTGGAACTCAAAGTTTTGTTCACGCTCCCGCTGGTCAATTTTCTTTGAGCGTGGCCCGCCCTTGAGGTTCTTGAGTTGCCGTTTGCACCCAATCAGGGCGCCAGAGGAAGAAGTGCGTGTCTGTCTTTTGGTGTGGGGTCACCCATCAGGGGCGCTCTAGGACGACGGGTACCGCGTGGAGGCCGCACAAGGCATTGCACGGTACAAACGTGCGCGTGGTCGGGAAGGGTTGGGGTTAATTCTGGTTGACGCGAGCCGTCATGGATCATCCGTGGACTGGCCGATGCTTCGCCGCTGCGGGGGTGGACAAAAGGTGTGCGGGGTGGGTGGCAGGTTCATAGGAGGGGCGGGTATCTTGGGGGGGGGCGCGCGGTGGGGCACGGGGCAAGGAGGGGTCGGGGCCGGCCAAGAGGGGGGTGATGACATAGGGGAGGGGGGATGCCATGGCCGGGGCCGCGATGTCTCCTAGATTTCGTGGCCGCCTGGGTGGTCTCGGAAACAGCTATTCTTCTGAATCCACACTAGCGACATTGGGGCACTCTGACGCCGCGGCGTGCCGCGGCGCACGGCGGCGGCTTCCCCTCCTTCCCTGGCATCGCCCGATGTGGGAATCCCCTTGATCTTCCCGTTCGGAGCTACCAGGGCCGCCCCCCCCCCCCCAGCGATCGACTCTTTATCCATACTACTGCTCGCAAGCCTGGACGCAAAGGGGTAGGACATCTGGAAGAACTCTGCTTCCAGAGGCCCGATGATTATTCGGGCCCTCACTCTGGCCTCTCTCGGGATTTGGGGTACTCAGTACTCCCCCCTTCCCCCCCCGATGTATCCCCCTTCGATGTTGTTCTCATCCACTGCTCATCCCCCTCTGCGATATACCCTACCCCGCTTCTGGTCCATCCTCTGCCACAGCGCTCGAATCATCATCTATCGGCGTTCTTCCCAGCCCCCTTCCATCCAGCATCGATCTTTTCGAGGCCGGAGGAGGGGCGCAGCTCGAGGCGGCATGCCCCCCCTCGATCCACCCACCTGCCGACTCCTCCACCCCGCCTTTCATCATTGATCGGCCTCTCTCCTCCTTCGGTTCCTCGCCCGTCGGTCCCTGCGACTCGCCACCGTCGTCGTCGCCGGCGCGCCCGGAGGCCTCGCCGACCGCGGCTGCCGTTCCCGTCAGGCGCTCCAGCTCCAAAGGAGACGCGCCGCCAGACCCAGGGCGCCGCGCCGTAGGGATGCGGGCTGGAATTCCGGAAGCGTCCTAGTCCTCGTTGTCCTCGCATTCTTTTTTCTTGGTTCCTTCATTCTTCTCGTTTGTCCCAGGCTGAAGTTTCTCGAGTGGCTTTCTTGGCGGGTCCTCGCGGGGCGCGATGGATGGCTCCTGAGGATGATGCGGCATGAGGGGAAGGGGGGCGTGGAGTGTTGAGTGCGGGCTGTCTGCGGGTGGTCTGTGGGAAAACGGAGAATAACCGCAAGCGCGTTGTCCAGGCTGAGACAATCCGGCGGTATGCCTCGCCTACTCGAAGTCACGGGAGACATCAGGCGATGGGTAGAGCGAACCGTTCCAGATAAGTTCAACGTATGTCAACCGCATTGCGGAAGGCGCGGTCATGCGGAATCCTTTCGTGTAGGACCTCCCCCCGTGTGTCCTTATTGTTGGGTTCTCTTGTGCACATCCCAATCGCTTGGGAAGCATTCGCGTGGAACCGCAGTAAGTGGGCCCCTCTCGTGTGGAACGCGGATCCGATCGAAAGGTCGCAAAATGCGTGCAGGATCCTATCATGTGGGACATTATCTCGATGGACCCTGTCTTTTGGAACCCCATCGTGTGTGACCTTGTCGCGCGGATCCCCCTCGATTGTGCGGCGAGCCAGCTGGAGGCCGTCGGAAGGGACGCTATAGGGGCTGTGCTGGGTCGATTTGCGTCTCGAGTCGCTCACGGATAGGCATCTCTCCCTCCCTCCCTCCTTCGCTCTCTTCCTCCGAGGGAGGAGGATGAGGAGGAGAAGGAGCAGGAAGAGAGGAGGATGAAGGGAGGAGAGAGGAGGAGGAAGAGGAAGAGGAGGAGGAGGAGGAGGAGAAGGAGGAGGAGCATGAGGAGGGGGATGAGGGAGGAGGAAGGGAGGAGGACCTCCTCCGCCCTCCCGCCGCCCGCGGCCCCCGCGGGGCGGCGAGCAGCCGCACCGCCCCGAGCCCCGAGGAGCTGTGGCGCGCACCGTGTCGGGCCAGCGGGCGCCAAGCCCAGGCGGCGCGCCAGCCACGAGGCAGGGGAGGACAGGGTACCGGTACCGCTACCCTTCCATTTGTTTTCCCCTCGTTGGGCGTCCTGGGAGGCCCTCATCGCCATGGCTGGAGTCGCTTCAAAATTGTGGTCATAGCGTACCCTGGTAGAGGTCTGGGGAGTAGCGGTATCGGTACCTTCGGTTTCTCCAGGACGCGGGGGGGAGGAGGACCCCCCACGAAGAAATGTTGCCATGAATGGGAAAGGGATCATGTTTTTTGTCATTTTCGACCTCTCGATGCTCTTCTCGGGGTCGGGAACCTTGTACCGCTATATAGTGGCCTTCGGCCCATCCCGCCTCCGTTCCTGGGTTGTGGGTCAGAGTTCTCAGGGATGCCTCTTCGGGTCTCTTCTTGGCGCTCTCGGGGGCCTCCTGGGAGCAGTTTCGGGGCCTCTTGGGAGCCTCTTGGGGGCCCCTGGGAGCGTCTTGGGACCTCTTGGGAGCCTCTTGGGACTCCGTGCCCAGCGGCACGGTGGCAAATCTTGTCTTACTATTTTGGTGGCCTCGCAGAAGTAGGCTCAATCAGCGTGGCGCTCCAAGCGCAGAGAGGCTCCACACAGGCAGCAGCCAACCAGCAAGCAGTGCATTCGAAGCAACTAGTAACCAGTGCCGCCATCTATATTGTGAGCTCGATTCCCGTTGCTAGGCCCAGCCGGCGAGGTGCGCCCAGCAGCAGGGACGCCAGTTCAAACTCTCAGGCAGCGGCTGTCACTATCCTAACTGTTCTCTCGGTGGGTGGGTGGGCTGGTGGGAGGTGGGGGAGGAGTGGGGGGGGGGGAGAGGACGTGATTGCAGGTCCCCTTGCGGAGGGAGTGCGCCCAGCGAGGCAGCCACCTTCGTACGCGAGGCAAGTTTCTCGCAACCAAAGTAGAGTACCCCACTAGAGGAGCAACCCTACCCCCCTAGAGAGGAGGAGGGGTGGGCTCCAGGCAGCCTCACGAGCCGTAAGCTTTAGAACTTGCCTCCATGATACCCAGGGGTCGGCAAATCCGATTAGATTTGACCACCAGACCCCCAGAGGTGCTTCCTTATCCTTATCCTCGTCGTCGTCCTCCTCTTCCTCCTCCTCCTGTCGCTTCCTCCGATGTTTCCATGTGTCATATGTGTCCTCAACTCGCCTGGGAGTCTGACGTTACATTAATGTTTTAAGATACAAACATAAATATATCCTTCCGCGCGCCCCATGTAGCCGCCCTTTGTGCATTCCCTCTGTCTCTCTCTATATATATATGTGTAGATATGAAACATGTACAGATGAACCATTGTGATTAGTAAGACTTCAACACGGATTTGTGCACGGTTGTTTGGCCAAAGTTCGGAGCGTGTGTCGCCCCTTGTTGTATTTTCCAAAGTCTCCGTCTCGAACGCAACACCACAGACTCAGCAAGCTCCCTTCCCAAGCTGAACTTGAAAATAAGATTCTACTCTACCCCCTCCGCCTACAGTACAACACCCAGTACAAACCAGACTTCGTCTCCAACACTCGACCCAAGACTCCACAGGCTCCCTCCCCAAGCTGAACTTGAAAATATCCTTATACTCGACACCCTCCATCTACAACACAACACCCGGTACTCAACGCCTTCCGGCTCCAACACACGAACCAACCCACTCCGAAGCCTCCGCTTCCACGGCCGGCGCACGTACCTCAGCCGCCTTTTCTTTATTGTTTTACATCTTCCAAGAGAGGGGGTTCTATGGTGCATGCTGGGACCTATAGAGAGAGAGAGAGAGAGAGGCAGAGAGTCTGGTTCAGGGCAGGTGTTTTCGTATTTTCCTTGATCATCTGCCCTTTCGTTCCTGCGGGGTCCGCCCCCCGACCAATGACGAGACCACAGAAAATCATGAAAACAAGCTCAGCTTCCGAGGTCAGGGAGAGGAAGCACAAATATTCCTTCCCCCAGAATACAAAGAACTCCTTGTCGTGGCGGCTCCCCGAAGGGATTTCTATTGTGGCGGGTTAGAAAGGTGTTTCCATGGCGGATTACAGCAGGGTTCCTTTTGTGCTGGATGACAACAGGATTCCTGCTGTGGCTGCTTGCGCAAGGATTCCTTCTGCGGTGGGTTAAACAACGATGTCTTGCGTGGTGGCTTGCAACATGATTTTTTCGTATGGGATTACCAAGGGATTCCTTTTTTGACAGCTTGCACAAGGATTCCTTTTGTTGCACATTGCAAAAAACTTCTGCGTCGGGCTACCATCGAATTCCTTTTGCAGCGAAGGACACACTGATTCTTTTGTTGTGCAGGAGCACAACCAATGACTGAGGAGTCCGTCCTCCGTCAGCCGTCCTCCGTATTTCTCCGGCCTCCTACAGAGAACCGCGAACGGCGGACGGACTGGTCACCCCCTCCCTCGTCTCCGCATTCTTCGTCCTCACTCCTCACTTCTCTTCTTCCTCATCATAATAATACGAATGCTAATACTAATTATGATAGTCATGTGTGTGCGTGGGTGGGTGTATGTGCGGCCGTTTTTGCGCTGTCATGTGCGCGCATGTGCGCGGCATGTGCCAGTCATGTGCCAGGCCTGTGCGGCCCGTCTTGGATGGACTTTACTGTGCACGTCGTGCCCGGGCATGTGCGGGGGCATGTGCGCCGTGTTTTGGTGTATCCATCATATGCACATGCACGCACAGTCCGACGCACATGCGCGCACATGCCTGCATATGCGGGAGGTGTTCGAGAATCGCAGATCTGTCATCGGCACATGCACGCACATGCCTGTGCAACCTCTCTTCGGGAGGCCGCGCGGGCCCGCACATGCACGCACATGCGGTGAAGCGCGCGGGCGCACATGCGTGCACATCCCATTGCACATGCACGCTCATGCCCTAGGAGCTGTCTGGGACCCCTGTGCTTCCAATGCCTCCTGGCCTTCGCAGAGCTAACCTGGGGCGTGCCAGGGCTTCCTGAAGGAGTTTGTTGTGCGTTTAGACTCACCCGCTGCTGGCGGGGGCGGTTCTTCGCCCGGTTCGTGAGTTGGCGGTGGCGTGCCCTCCTACTAAAACACTTTCCCGCGCGCCTTTTCAGCTCGGCCGGAGAAGCAGGGGTGGGGGGGGGAGGTGGAGGGGGGGGGGGAAGAGGGGGGGCGGAGGAGGCGGCTCGGCCGGCCCGCCCGCCTGTTCGGCTCGGCCAGAGGTGAAGGAGGAGGAGGAGGAGGAGGAGGAGGAGGAGGAGGTGAGAGTTGCGAGGATGTCTCAGGCGAAATGGGCTTGAAGGCCCGAGCGCAGGGAATCTCGGAATCGCTGGCCTGGCTCGGCCATTGGCGAGCTCGGCCTGTGCGAATACTGTGCGGGGCATGCGCGGGACCTGCAAGAATTCAGGGCCGGCGTTCGTTTCTGGGCGCCGGCGCGTTCGCGTCCGCGCGCAAGCCGCGCGCGGACGCAGCGTTCGCATCTCTGACCTCAATGATGCCCTGCTCCATAGTGTCTCGGCCTTGTTCGCCTGAGACCCTCGCAACTCTGGGTTCCGTGATGCCCTGAGCAGGTGGTCGGGCCAATCCTGCCTGAAACATCCTCGCAACTCTTGGTTCCGAGACGCCCTGGGCTGAGGTGGTCAGACCACTCTCGCCAGAGACATCCTCGCAACTCTGACCTCAGAGATCTCTTGCCCCATAGTGGTGAGGCCACTTTCGCCTGAGACATCCTGACAACTCAGACCTCGGAGGTGTCCTGCCCCATGGTGGTTTGGTCACCTTGGCCAGCGACGTCCTCGCCACTCTGGTTTCCAAGGTGCCCTGCCCCATGGTGGCCTGGCCACGCTTGCCTGAGACATCCTCGCAACTCTGGGTTGCGAAATGCCCCGAGCTCAGGTGGTCAGGCCACTATCGCCTGCGACATCTCTGCGGCATGTGCGGGCATGTGCGTCTATGTTTTCAGAGTCTTGCTTGACCGTGCATTCGACTGTGCGTCGGACGGTGTGGCATGTGCGCGCATGTGCAGCAATGCTGTTGAGGCTTTTGTATAGTTGCATGGGCATGTGCATGCGACTGTGCAGCATGTGCCTGCATGTGTGGCCCCTTCTGGACCACAATTACAACGTGATCACTATAGAAGTGAGCGCTATAGAAGTGAGTCCGGCGTAATCATCATCAGCATCAGCAGCAGCATCATCGTCATCCTCTTCGTCCCCCACTCTTCCTCACATTTCCTCCTGCTCTTTCCCCTCCCCCTCCCCATCATTATCATCATCATCGTCATCGTGTTCGTCATCATCATCAGATTCTTCATCATCATCATCATCGTCGTTATCATGATCATCTTCTTCGTCCCCCCGCTCTTTCTGAATACTCCTTTTCATCCTTCCCCTCCCTATCATCATCGTCATCATCATCATCATCATGCCGTAGCCATTTTGGCTCAAGCCATTTTGGCTCAAGGCTAAACGGGTAGAAGCTTCGGAGAAGCGAGGTAACCTGATTAGCTTTGGGATATCCACTGCGTGCTGGCTCAGGCTGGGGCCTTGCTGGCGCAGCAGAGGGCTGCAGATTCTCCTGCAGAAGACTTTCCACTCTGTCTCGACCACCCGTCAGGCATGTCGCTGGCTGCAGGCGGAAGCTCGAGTTCTGCGGGAGGCCATCATGACACACTGCTCGCGAACATTCACAAGATGCTGGAGGCTCAGGAAAAGAACATAAATGGCAAAACCGAGATGCTAATCAAAGAACAAGCGGCTGAAGTACTTCAGCTTCGGTCGGAGGTCACCACGAGTATGAACTACTTGGAGAGCAAGATCGTCACTGCGACGAAGGACACCGACGAGCGCTTCTCCAAGTTGGAGCAGATCATGTCTGGACATGGCATCCCGATTGATGCGGAGAATAAGTACATCAATGAAGCGAATGAGAAAGTTGCCGCACTCGAAGCGGATATTAAGAAGTTACAAGCTATGCAATCGACCACCCCTTCGACGGCATCTTCTGCCGGTGGCTCGACTCGCACATTCTCAGATTCCAGTGGGT